ATGTCTAATCTCAACTTTCCATAGCACGTTGAATACGAAAATACAAATTTCCCACTTTTGTCTGTCTGTCATTTATTTGTTGGCGCTTTTATTCGACAGGTAATCTCCAAAACTGTACTCACCAATTACTATGAAATTTTGGAGTGACTTTTAAATTACCATAAAAATAATGGACTACTATTTAAAATTTATTTATCCATCTATTCTACAAAAATCATTTGACTTCGTCGATCCTGCCGGTACGTATTTCTATATTAGTTACCTACAACATGGAAATTTCCATAGCCATCAATATTGCGGTTTTACATTCCCATCATGTATTTATAACATGACAGATTTTTTTTCATATCATGTAAATAAACAATCTTGAGTCTCAACTTGTTGCTTTAATACGACTTTACTGTTAAAATTAAACTTATGAAAATTTCCCTTGTAGTATTGTCATTGTAAAATATTTAACAATTGTAATATCTGAAAATGAAAAGTACTGGTATATTTCACTAGCCGAATTTTAGATTTTAACGAAAGACATTAAACATTGGGTGAAGTAGCTAAAATAAAAAACATGTTCTTCATAGTGTAAACAGTAAGTTTAGTTACATTATTTTGTATCCGACAGCCTTGTGAACGTTCATAAATTGTTTTATTATCAAAACGCGGATCATTGTGTCATATCTATAATAATATGGCTAAAGCAATTCGCACTTAAATCTTTATGGAGTAAAAACTCTGTCATGATATGCAGCATACCGTTTCTTACCAGTCCATATTACCACACCTGGATGTCAAATTTCGTGGCAACTTAGTTTTAAACTGACATTTTACGCAAATACGCTATGAAAATAATTTTCATCAAGGGGTTCGATTTAGATTTTCGAATCCTGTGCTGGCCTCTTTTGGTGGGAGGTGTGTTTATTGCTAAGATAATGTCACAAGTAATACGGTTGTGTAACTGATTTTAGTTTAAGGTCGTGCGGCTCCGGTATGTCGTAAATTGGTTAAGCTGCGAAAAATAAACTTATCCCTGGGAGAATTAAAAAAAGGGAAAATAACACACGCGACTGTTTCACCCACGCCGACTTACCTGAAAAAAATGCATGATGCAATAGTTGCACGAACGCGGTGGTCGCCTTAAATTTTTAGGAAGTATTTTAAATTTGTGCAGGCGGGGCTAGATAAGGTGATATTGAATTGTTTTGTGGAGGTGCGATTATGGGAGTGGAAACGCGCTGAGTACGCGTGCATGTTATTATTTATAGTTACACTGATAAGATGATAATATTTACTCAGATCGGAAGTTAATAAAGGGGTTTGCTCGATATTTGTTTGCATAATGTTAAAATAAGGATGTGATAGACAATTCGTTTTATTTGAATTGGTGTTATACATATTGTGTAATTTAAAAAAGCACTTTTATCGATTTGTGCCACAAAAATGAGTTTATTGGACTTGGAATGGTGATTTAGAAAATTTAGGAATATTCAAATTTCTTGTCCAAGAGATGTTTTTGGTTTTTATCTTCGGGTTGAAAATTCGTGTTTAATCAATACATATATCGACATTTGAATAAAGAGTGAACTTCAGCACAGCTTAATACATAATTAATTAATTATAATTGACTGTATTTTTGTTCAGAAAGTAAATTACCGTTACATTAAAATTAATTTTTTTAGTAAACTTAGAAAACACTTTTTTGCTTCTTTCATAGTTTTTTTGTCCTGAGACAATTTTCTTTCGTGCCTGTTGTATATTGTAGATATTGAGAATTTTATCTAATCGGAATTTTTTAATCGCGATTTTATGATTCGTTGTGGTTTAAAAGTGAAAGAAAGTATTTATGAATGCACTTGCATTTAATACCAGTGCATTTATTTATTGCTCATATCGTCATATCTATTTAACCCGTTTTTAGACTAGAAACCTTGAACAAAGTTTATGCAAAACTAGATGATTTAAAAGAAAGCGACTAAACCTCAACAAAATCCTGTAGTATTTTCAATTTTAAGCAAAGATTGCGTATAGATTAAAAATTCCTGATAAAAATTTAAAATTCTTAAACTTGTCAAAAGTCGAATCAAAGTGAGGAGAAAATCACCACTTTTTATAACATACAATGTGGAAATATTCAAAAAGGAATGTTGTATAATAATAATATTATACACGGTAATTCAAAAAATGAAACAATTTATTTTATTGACTCAAAAACTGTTGTTATGGTTTTGCTAAAATGTTCTTTACTTGTAGTTTATATCTTTATATTAATTTATAGGGGTTATCACAAAAAAGTAAGATTCTCAAAATCTAATTTTATTATTTTGTTTAAAAAACTAGATTTGTTTAACTGTAATTTTTTCCTTGTGAGGATTAATTACATTTATTATTCAAACTACATTAGGACCCTCTATAATTTTAGTCAATATTGCCGCTAACCTGTCACAGAGTAATTTTTATTAGAAAAAGCTGATCTAAAGTTATCCAGTTATTGTGTTATAAAAAAAAATGTCGACGAAAATCCACGGTCCATGGTAACCAAAGTATCATCTACATGATGCTCGTGGCAAATATTGCACATTTTTATAAAGTAATTGTGATACAAATCAAGGCGGAATCATAAACCACAAGTATAGGAGTATGTTATGTTATAACATGTAAATAGGAGTTACTATGAAAAACAGAGTTTACGCCATTTAATTGTTGGGGATGATTAGACAAATTTTGGTTAGCGTGTTACAATCTACATGACATTCTTAAATCACATTGAAATTTGACAACAATCGGTCCAATAGTTTCGGAGATTATCTGTGTAATCAAAATCGACGTTGACAGACAGGGAAACGGGAGACACTAGGGGTCATGAAACGTCGAAAAAACATGGAAGTGACCATTACAACACTTCCTCAGTGCGCTCTGGAAATAAACATGAACACAAAATTTAAGATCAATCAAATATTGTATAATATGTAACACTAGCACCCAGGAGCTGCTTTCCCAGCCTGTATTTTTGACAGTTTCGATATACAGAGTGAGTCACTAAGCTTATTTTTAACTATACAAAGTGTTCTGTTTTAAGACGTAACACACAATTTAATTTTTTTAAATGAAACACCCTATACACCTACCGTATATTTAATGTTTCTTTAATACTGTAATAATAAATCAAAAAATCAAATACACCGAATATCTGGAAAATGGCGGATTAACTCTTCAGTACGTTATATACGGGGGTTTCGGACGCCCCAAAAAGATAATAAAAAAATTGGCAACACTGCACGTACCTAATGCGTGAATACTTCCGGCTTAGTTTTGATTTTGGCAAATAAGATACCCTCTAACAAAAGAGAGGGCGGGTGGGCGGCTCTAGTAACTGCTAAGATAAGACTGATTTTGGCAAATGAGATATCCTCTAAGAAAAGAGAGGGTGGGAGGGCGGGGCTAGTAATACGAAAATAAAACACCAGTGGACCTAACTAACTGCGAACATTTAAAACGTAAGGTTTTGAAAACTGACGATTTTTGATACGTCAAACATTTTTAACTGCTTACACGATTTTTGGTAATTTATCATACCTTCGCTGTACATCAGGTAAACATTGTTGTCAAATGGAATTTTATCAAATTATTATAAAAACAACACAACCATATCTTTGTACATTCTAACTGAAATGGTAATTAAACATGGTCATGAGCCAGGGAAATATTAACAAAAAGTTTTATTACTAGTTATTGTGATAATAAATGTGTTGTTTAGTTGTTAAATGTAGCAGAAGAACCAATTTTAAAATCATTGTAACTCCACCAAAATGTGAGAAGGAATTTTTTACTATTTTTCCCAGACTCCGCAGTTGATGTGTGATTTTTTAAATTTCTACTCTAGTTGATCATCACCAATTAAAACGGCTGACGTAAGCGTCATGGCCAACTAAAACAGAAATTTAAAACAGCACCCGGTATAACTTAATTCATCTTCTACTGATGGTGTGGATAGATAACCGGATCAGATTAATCTTGGATAAATTTCGGCTAAAAATTCAAATTTAAAACCGGATAAATATTCAGTTGCTAAAGCTATTTTTAAAAATAGCCAGCTATTTAATAACACTAGCTACATGTCATTGAAAACATGGATTAATGTTTTTTTTTTTTTTTTTTTTTCAAGAATGTACATTATTGTACATGCAGCTTGAAAATACAGACAGTTAATAAATCGGGTATTAAAGCATATTATTTTACGCATTTGAAATAGGAAATACTTTTATTTAGCAAAACATTGGTGAAGATGAAGAGATAAATTTTGATTAGTGTTTTACCGTCTACATGATATTCTTAAAATACGTCTAAAATTTGACAACAATCAGTGCAGTAGCTTGTAGACGACAGATAACAAACAAACAAAAATGGGACATCTACTTTTTCATATTCTGGGAGTTGTGGAACGTCGAGAAAACAACAACAAAAATTAAAATTATAAAATAAAATTTTGTTTTCCTGATAGCCGTACCACCATATAAAAATCTCTCAATACCTTATTGTCTTTCGATTTAATACTTAGAGCTCAATTAAAATGTACGAAATTAGTGATGGTGAACATGGCGCATTAGTCACACAATAACACAATGCAGCACCAATAACTGGGTACTGAAAAATAACAATAGATACCTAAAGATAAAGAATTATAACTATAAAAAAAACACAAACAGAAATGTTTATCATCTGTACATTTTGGTATTCTTCAAACTCTCCCCCGTTTTGTTCAATTCAGCAAGCATTTTTATTTTTTATATGAAATGCACTGTTTATGATATTAAAAAACGTATAAACCTAAATGAAAATGTCAGTTGATTGCGTAACCTTTTATACCAAAAACAATCATTTATAATTATCTTGATTTTACCTCATCACTGGATATGCAAAACAGGATATATCTTGTTATCAACATATGCCGGATCAAGAGATAACTAACGAAGCATGAATTAATCTACAATAACATCCCTCGTTTTCAGGTCTTCTGACTGCAGTTAATTGTCTCAGCGTCAGATGGGCTATGCGAATACAAAGCGTCTTTACGGCGGCAAAGCTATTCGCTTTAGTGGTCATCATCCTTACAGGACTTTACGATATAACCATCAACGGTAAGTGACATTTTCTAAAAGTTGCACAATCTAAAAATATCCACATTAATGTATGTACACAAGAAAATAAAATTTTTTCGCTGGCGAAATTCCATTCACTTGATTGCTACTTTTTACTTCTTGACACACTTACAGCTCTTGAGTTGATGAAGTCTTACCTAATCTTTTACTTTGTCTGCAACACTTTACTTTGGAACATTTCGCTCTAAATGATCCACACATTTTTTTGCAAGACTATTTTATTGTCAGAAACGATTCTTTGTAAACTTTTACGATTAATTAACCCATTCCTGGAAATGTGTGCGTTCTTTGACCCTCATGCTGTTGCCACCCATAAAACCCATGCATAATGTATTCGTCCTTCATCAGTTTTGTTTCGCAGGCCATACTGAAAATTTTCAAAATGCCTTCGACGGAAATTTCGAAGTTTCCCAGCTGGCTTTAGGATTCTACTCCGGTTTGTTCGCTTTCGGGGGCTGGAATTTCCTCAATTTCGTTACTGAAGAACTTCAAGATCCATACAAGTGAGTAAAACCCAATAATTTAGCGTGTTTTGAGGAATAATCTAGTTTCTGGGATATTTAAGTTTCCACAGCAAATGAGTCGTATCTCACAAATTCGATTTAATGAAGCTTCGCATTTAATAGAAAGTCCAATTACATCTTAATTGTTTAAATGGGTTAAGTAAGTTTACAGATCTTGTCGACTTACTAATTATTGGAACGGAAAAAAGCTTGATCTTTGTGAAGGACATGACGTGATCTTTAAATGGATGAAGGGAATGCTGAATTAAACATAGACGCTATTCTTTACCATCACGGTTTTCTCGTTACTGTTAAAAGTCTTTTATTGTAGTTCGCTTTATTCAAGCGCTTGCACTGGATCGAACGTGATTTTAAGCTGATTGAGTTACTTAATAAAAAGGGCGTAAATAATCTTGACATAGAAAGAGGTTTCTTACAGTTACGTGTGTAGTGAATGCAGTTATAAATTTAATTAGATTATTATTGCATGCCTATACAATTCTCGTTAATAGTATTAAGTATTGATAACAATTGTAATAATAATGAATGAAAGTGATTAAGAATTTAGAAAATCTCGCATTTTTTCAGATTCAAGGTTTCTTCTGTAGAAGTAATAATTTCACAAAAAGACAGGAACCAATATGTCGATTTTTTTTCTTTATGTATCTATTAGGGCTACAAAATGTTTATAAAAACTAGTGCAGTTATTATATGCAAAGACGAACTGTAATTTTTTTCTAAAGTAGACCCGTTAACTGAAAAATAATTTGTGTTTGGAATAATGCAACCAATTAAACATACAACAATAGTGTTACTCAGTTCGAAAGAGGCGGAACAAATCAGTGCCCTCTTAGACCTATGAGTCATTGATGATTATGATTCATAGTATTTTGGTATTCCTGTACTGTTAGAGGCGACGAGCAAAGAAATCCGATGAATTTTGAACTGATTAAATTTCCCCAATATATTTCTTAAAACTTATAAATAAAAATGGGTTTCTCATTTCTTATTCTTATCTTTCTTATCTTCCGTCGTCAGCATAAAGATCAATTTCTTTGAATCCATCAGTAGCAACAACATAATGATTTATCGCCACTCAAACCGCAGTTAACTTATCATATCATTATGATATTTTCGTCGGACAGTATTGCAGTGTCAATACCACAAACAACATGTCTGACTTAAAGATTCCCAATCTAGAAGACCTCCTCCAACTCGACGAAAAAATCGCGTTCACAAAAATCAAATGTCTGACGGCACCGGGCGAAAATTACGGAAGTTTAATGTTAAGTGTGGACGTCACCACCGAAAGCAACCACGAACTCAAAGTTGTGGCCAAAACTCTACCCCCGAATCCCAAAATGCAAGAAATGTTCGACAGTCCGGTGACCTTCCGCAACGAAATCGCGTTCTACAAAACCATCATTCCCACTTTGAGGAGCTTCCAGAAAAAGCACGGCGTGAAAAAGGTGATGAACTTCGCGGCGAAGTATTACGGAAGTCGACCGAATTTGCACCACAAAGACGACAAAATTGATCAAGACGCTGTATTGCTTCTAGAGAATCTGAAGGTTAGTGGTTTTGTCAACGTGGAGCGGACGGAAGGGTTTGATTTAGACACCTCCAAACTCATCCTTCGCGATTTGGCGCAGCTGCACGGAATCGGGATCGCTCTAAAACTGCAAGAACCGAAAATCTTCAATCAGAAAGTTCGACCGTACTTGACGCCGCTCACTCTACCTGAGGAAGCACACGACGACTGGAAAGACAAGTACTTGAAGATCATCCACAGCATTCCTCGACTGGAACCGTATTTGGAACGTTTGAAGAAAGTTAATTTCGATATGAAAGGTCCACCTCCACCCCGCGAGCCGTTTGCGAGCATCTCCCACAACGATTGTTGGGTTAACAATGCTATGGTGAAGTTCGAAAATGGTAAAGCTGTTGAGAGTAGGTTGGTGGATTTTCAAATCAGTGCCTACGCTTCTCCGGCTAAGGATGTGTTGTTCTTTTTGTTTTCGAGCTTGCGCAATGATGTTTTGAGAAAGAACTGTGATGGTTTGATTCGGTACTACCATGAAAATTTGATCGGAGTACTGAAGGAACTGAAGTGTGATACGAAACCGTTTTGCTTTGAAGAATTTAAGAAAGAGTTGGATTTTGAGGCAAAACATACACAGTTCGTGGACACAGTTTTGATGCTTATACCTATTTTTGCACCTAAGTTGAAGGTGAAAGATTGGGCGGAGATTGAACCAACGGATATTGGAAATAATGAACCCACAGAGCTGCATATGGAGAAGTTGGTGGTTATTGTGGAAGAGTATGCGAAAAGGGGATGGATTTGACTAAAACGTGTAATATAAAAATAAAGTGTAATAAAATAATTATAAATAAAACTAAAAAATTGCTCTAAGGTTATTTATATAGATAGAACTTCCCTCGTCCCTAAAGTACACGAAAAATTATAAAATTTTGCGATGTTATATCCGATTTATTATAAAATTAATAGTTCCGCATTAAGTGCTTTCACGCATCCTCATAACATTATTATTACCCATTATTAACCACACATCCACAATAATAATGAACACTTTTCCGGAATGCTCGTTTGTAATAAACCACGTATTACTCATTCCAGAAACCTCCCCCGAGCTATTTGGATCGCCCTCCCCATGGTAACTGGCGTCTATGTTCTGGCAAATGTGGCATACTTTACCGTGCTTTCCGGAATTGAGATCGAAAGCTCTCCGGCTGTCGCCGTTTCCTTTGGCGCCCGAATGTTTGGACAGCTTCAGTGGCTGGTGCCTATTTTTGTGGCACTTTCCACCTTCGGGGGCGTAAATGGAATTCTCTTCACGTCTTCAAGACTGTTTCTCACCGGATCTCAAGAAGGACATTTACCGGACTTGTTCTCTTTTATTCATGTTAGGAGAATGACGCCCATTCCATCGCTTATTTTTACGGTATGGGTTAGTTATTCTTGGGTTGTAATATTACTTACACGTATCACTTGCAGTGTGTTACCTCTTTGGCGATGCTACTAGTCAGTGATGTTTTCATTCTTATTAATTACTATGGACAGATTTTGTGGTTCTCGGTGGCGGCCAGTGTAGGAGGAATGTTGTGGTTGCGATATAAGCAACCCGATATGCCAAGACCAATCAAAGTGAATTTGGCTATTCCCATTTTGTTCCTGTGTTGTTGCGCATTTGTGGTGATATTCCCTATACCGACCCAGCCGTGGAATACTGTCATCGGGGCTGCAATCACGTTGTCAGGTATGGTTTGTTTTTCTTGTTTTTTTCGGGTTCTAATTTCTTTTTTTTTTTTAGGTGTCCCAGTGTATTATTTATTCGTGGAATGGAAAAATAAACCACAGAAGTTTAACGCAACTATTCGAAAACTGACTGAGATACTCCAAAGTATTATGAATGTGACCTCACCAGAGGCTGAGCAAACCTTATCCCATTCTTAATTTATTTATTGTTTTTAAGTTATGTAAATTGTGAGTTTTTTTATAAGTGTTGTATATGAGAAATATAGTCGTCTGGCAATATCAAACAATATTTAAGTAAAATATTACTGATTAATTTTATGTAGGTGCAATACAAAAATCCTGATTGTATTGTACAATACTACTCCTATAATTTATTTAATATAAAATGGTCAAACAAAACAACATTTATGCAATGGGTAGGCGAAGAATTTTTAATAATTTAAGTAAAGTTAGTATAATACAGAGTTTATTCAAATTATCAAATACGAGGAAATTCATCATCTCCACTTTGTGGCTTGTTTGCTCTCTTTTAAGCACATAGCTGTTACCTACATTTTTAAACTTTACGAAATATATTGTTTAACGTTAATTTTCTTGGAATAATGTTATGAGATGTTCCCATAATTTATTGCCATTCTGATTTAACGAGAAGCATTTTTTAATTCTGTCATTAATAAATTGCGTCGAAATGTGTACGCTACTAAAAATAGGCACAATCTGCGTTAAAATTTATCCCTTTGTTAATAAATATTACTAATAAGCTGGTGACGATGTCGCCTTGTTTGTATTCCACATTTGATATATACAGGCTGAGTCACTAAGCGCGCGGTCCTTGATCTCATTAATTATTATTATTAGAGGCGAAAAAAGTCACCAACTAAAAGTGAGGATCGTATATTAAAACTATTTTCAGTAGGTGGATATTCTGTTTTTGAGACAAAATGCACAACTTAGTACCTAGTTTTGAATAGAAAGCCATATTTGTATATTTTCATTAGTCTCTTCTTTATTTTTGAAATTCCGATGCGACGTTGGCACGTTATTCTTGATTTTTTTACTTCCTGAACGTAAGCAAAGGAAGTACTGTAACCGAGTCCGTCGACCGACTCTTTACTTTCACGTTTTCTCGACCTTTCATGACCCCTACCGTACGAAGAAATAGGTCTTCCGTTTCCATCTGTCTATCATGTAGATCAGGGGCGGCTCGTGAGTTGAGAAGCTGATGAGGCAAAGCACAAGATGCTCAAATATCTAAATATCGAAAAAATTACATAGGTACATATTTTTCGATTTGCAGTTTTTCGATTTTTATTTTGCAATTTTTTAATTCTACATTGTTTCGATTTTTAAGTTCAAAATTTTGGTTTATCAACATTCGATTTTTTCAATTTTTTAAATTACAATTTTTTGATTTTACAGTTAGTCGGATTTCTAAATTTCTAGATCGTTTATTCAGTTTTTGGATTTTTCAGTTTCTCGATTTTTAATACAAATTTTGATTTTCAAATTTTCCATTTGTGAATTTTTGTTTCTTCAATTTTTCGAGTCACAGTTTTCCGATTTTAGATTTTCTAGTTTTCAGTCTTTAATTTTTCAATTTTACAATTTTTGGTATTTTTTATTTTTTGATTTGAAAATTTCCGGTTTCCCAGATTTTTTATTTGCAATTTTTCGATATTTCAATCAATCGAGATTTCAATTTTTACTTTAGCTTTTAAGTTTTTTAAGGTCTCCATTGTTTAAAATGTTTCATTTTCCCAGATTCTAATTTTTAATTTAATTAAAAAATAACAAATTTATTAAAACTGAAATCTTCACGATTTTACAGTTTTTGGATTTTTCAATTTTTATATCTAGATTTTTCTTAACTAACTAATTTTTAATTGCTTTCATCGCGTTTATTTACATCGTATTGACTGAGCATTTTTTTAATAACACCCATTTTTGAGTTTTTGAAAATTCGTTAGTTGTCCGATTTTCTATTTCTCGATACAAAAAAAGTAGTCTCCTGTTTCCGTCTGTCTGTCTGTCTGTCTGTCTGTATCCATTTTTATTAGATACGTAATCTCCGAAACTGCTGGACCGATTGTTGTCAAATTTTGCACATATGTTAGAAATATCACGTATTGGTTAAATACTAACCAAAATTTATCTAATTTTCCCCACCAACAATTTGATGACGTCATCTCCAAAATTTATAATTAGAAGTTTTTTTTAATTTTATAGAATAAGATCTTGTACTTGTGGTGTGTAAATCCGTGTCGAATTTTCACTCTAGACATCCAGAATTCTTAGAAAAACTTTAAAACTGAATAGAGTAATTGCAATATAACTTTCTTTACTCCCCTCTCTATTTTCTCAGAGGGCACGGCATTTGCCAAAATCAGTCTTATCTTAGCAAGTACTAGTCCCGCCCATCCGCCCCTATCTTCTCCGAAGATCTGTCATCTGCCAAAATAAGACTTATCTTAGCAAGTACTACCGTCTGATGAAGTAAAGGGTGGGTGGGCGGGGCTAGTACTTGCTAACATAAGTCTTGTTCAGGCAAATGACATATCCTCTGAGAAAATAGGAGGCGGGTGGGTGGGGCTAGTACTTGGTAAGATAAGACTGATTTTGGCAAATGACGTATCCTCTAAGAAAAGAGAGGGTGGGTGGGTGGGGCCTAGTACTTGTTAAGATAAGACTTATTTCGGCAAATGACATCCTCTGAGAAAACAGGGGGCGGGTTCCTAGTACTTGTTAAAATAAAACGGATTTTGCCCCTATTAATCTTGTAAAAACTTGTGAAATTTAAAGGTGTTAAATTGCAAATTTCCATAGTAACGTAAGTTTTTACTTGTGATTTATCATGGCATTCATATTTTTAAATTTGCTTATACAGGTGGCTCAAAGAAATTAATCAATGTGTCAATTTATTTTATTGATTAAATCAAGAACGGTTCACTCCATTTTCGCAGAAAAATTTGGGAATACAATATGTCCTTGCAAAAATGTTAATGACGTCATCACAAAATTCTGTAAAGTAAAAACTCAACTCAAAAATGCTGGATATGTTTCACTGTACTTTAGGTGTGAGCGAAGTTCTGCCGAAACAGCTTGCGACCAATTTTTCGATTTTATAGTTACTTAGATTTTTAACTTTTTCGATTTAGAATTATTCAATTTTACAGTTTTTTGATTTTACAATTTTTCAAATTGTAGATATTTTTGGCTTTCAAGTTTTCTAGTTTTTAATTTTTCGAATTTTTAAATTTTCGATCTTGCAAATTTTCGTTCTTTCATTTTTTCGATCTGCAATTTTTCGTTTCTTGGATGTTTCGGTTTTTTAAGTTTCCGGATTTTCACTTTTTCGTTCCTTCGATTTTTCGATTTTTCAAATTGTAGATATTTTAATTTTCCTTTATTTGGATTAAACGATGATTCAAATTCATGTTTTCAATTTTTCATTTGCAAGTTTTTAGTTTTCAATTTTTAGCTTTTAAATAATCAAGTTCTCATTTTTGAATTTTTAAATTTTTGACAAAAAGAACAAGTTTATTTAAACTGAAATTTTGAAAAATTGTAGCGCAGGATTTTTTCATGTTGCTCTTGTATTTTCGATGTGTTTCTTCGAAAAGTGGAAACATCCAAAATAAAAAATCAAAAAACTGGAAATGTAACAACTGAAAAACGAAAAAATTAAATATTGAAAAATTGAGAAATCTAAAAATAATAATAATAGAAAGAACCAATCTAAAAGGTGAGTAACGAAATATTGAAAAACTGAAAAATTCAGACATGCAAAATCTAAAAATTAAAAAATTTAAACTGGAAACAAAAAAGTCATGGCTGAGGCATTGCCTCACCTGCCTCATAGAACAAGCCGCCCCTGATGTAGATGGTAAAACGCTCACCAAAATTTGTATAATCATCTCCACCAATAATATGAAAAAAATTGATGACGTCAGTTCATAAATGTCTATACTTGTGATTTAACATTCCATTCATATTTTTTCGATTTACTTATACAGGGTGACTCAAAAAAAAAATTAATGAATGTGTAATTAGGAACTGCAAAATGGAATGCTTTGAAATCTTGGAGATATTTTAAAATTATCATAAGCATGGTAAATTTTTGGTCAAAATGTATTTGTTCATCCCCCTAAAAAGTTGATGACGTCACCTCAAAATATTGCTGACTAAACCCTATCTTAAATATGCAAAATATGATGAGTCTATACTTGTGATTTCTCACTGCATTAATATTTTTCAGATTTGCTTTATTTTATTATTAAATCCAGAATTGCAAAACTGAATCCTTTGAAATCTTGCAGACGTTTTAAAGTTATTGTAAGCATGGTAATTGTTAATCAAAATACATATATCTATAATATATAAAAAATGAGAGAACGGGTGGGTGGGCGGCGCTAAGTTTAACTTTTTCCTACAAATCTTTTATAAGCAAGCAATAGGAGCACCCACCCACCCCCTATTTATTTCAGTGATTACTCTTAATATTGTTCAGTCATTTACCAAAATTAATCTTATCTTAACAGGTACTAGCCCCACCCACCCGCCCTCTATTTTCTTAGAAGGTATGTCGTTTGCCACAATCAGTCTTATCTTAGCAACTACTACACTGCACCAATTCAAGTTCATATACTTGACGTTGCAAAAATGTTAATGAGGTCATCACAAAATTGTGTCAACTCGAAATGCTGTGCGAGGGAAGTTCTGTCGAAACAACTTTCGACCAATTTTTTAACAATGTAAAAATTCACAAAAAATCGGAATGTTATTTTTAAGGTTTGTGTTTCAATATTCATCAGTATCAATTAAATCGAATTTTAATATACAGCGTGTTTATAAAAAATTCTAAAACTTTATCATTTCAAATTCAAATATGTATCCATACTTCAGTTTTTTTTTTCAAATGGACCGTCTTGTATTTTATTATTGCGTGTGCTCAATTTTTTGTTCTATTCTTTCAGGGTGTAGGGGCATCTCTTAAAAAAAGTAAAAAATCGCAACAAATATCAACTTTAAACAAGTACACAAAATAGTTGACAAAAAAGGAAAAAACGGAATAATTGAAAAAACTGAAATGTCGACGTTTAAAAATTGCAATGCCTTTATATTTATCATTTATCTATCCACAAAATACTGTAAGACAGATTTAAAAATAACCGTTACGCATTTTTTGGCGGACATCACATCGAATTTAAAACGTAAATTGCGATTATAAAGCTTAAGGGGGCGTTAATTAGAATATGTAAAAATATATAGGTCTTCTGTTTGTCAAAAATAAGTGGTGTGCCCCGTCTTAAATACAGAAAACTGTACCATTGACCAAATAATCCCCTAGAGCATTAAGAATAGTTGTCATAACGTCAACAGAAAATGCAATTGGCTAGAAATCAACTGAACGTATTTATTGAAATTGAAAGGACAACCTGTGTTTGATAACAGGCAAAATTCATTTTTTTTTTAATCCAAAAAGCAAAAAAAATCCACAAATGCAAAAAGACCAATAGTCCAATAATCCAAAAATCGAAAGCATCCAAAAATCAGAAAATTTAAATAAACCAAAAAAATCCAAGAAACTTATAAAACTAAATAAACCAAAAAATCCAAGAAACTTAAAAAACTAAAGAAATCCAAAAATTAAATCTAAGAAATCAAAGAATTTAAAAAATCCAAAAAACCAATCAAAATAAAAATTATCAAAAAAATCGAAAAAATTAAATGAATAAAAAAACAATTAAAAAAAAATATCCAAGAAATCCAATGATTTTAAATTTAAATTTAAAAATCAAAAATCCGAGGAAATAATTTAGTTCTACATATGAAATACTAAGCGGTACGACATAAAGTGTACCCCGGGCATCATTTGAAATTGATACATAAATAAGCTGATACAAAAAATAACTGTTATTGTATGGTCCTCAAAGAACTATACAATTTTGGTCTTCAATTCAATTTTTTTCTTTCTATTTTTAATAAATAATGAGATGACTCTTATTGACTCACCCTGTATATATACTTACAATATTTTTTTCCGTACAATACTAATAAAAATTACCCCCATGTTTCTAAATTATGTCATCTTTTTTTATTTCATGTTTACGTAATTAAAAACTTACGATTTCACTTTGTTGTATTAAAAAGTAAACACTATAAACGGTCGTAGTTCAGAAATTTCCTAAAAACTAGAGTTTAATATTTTCGTAATGATGATTAATTAGTTATTTGTAATTGCAGATAGACAACAAGAAAACATTACAATTATACAGACGACGAAAAATTAAGTTTATTGTAAAAAAACACCTACCTAAATTAAATATTTATGCTCGTACATGGTGTTTGTAATATTTGTAATATTTATCTCGAAATTCCAAAAGTTATGTAGAACATGCGACAAACTGTAAGAACTATATACGTTTATTTCCACAGATAATAAAAATCAATAATCACATCAAATAGGAAACACTTTTTCCTGGGAACATACTAACAGTTATAGAAATTGGGAAGTATATTTTCACATAACATAGATTGTGCCAAAAGGCACAAATAAAAATCAAAAAGTAATTTACATACAAATTCATCTCTGAGGGTAATTTTGTAATGTCATTTACATTTTTGTGGAGAGGATTTACATTCATTTTTTTAAATACTTATTTGTATAAACGATTTTAAAAATAAAAGCACAAACACTTATTACAGATATTCAGGTATATTTTTCAATAAAAAATTCGTATGTTTTAAGGCCAACTTTCTCGAGCAATATATGTCAGTTTTAAGGTATTTTGTTACATGTTAATACTTTACCAAAATTCCGAAGACTTCTTTTATACATAATTTTTAAGATAAAATATAGAATTTGTGAAAATTAATAATTATACAATATAAATGAGGGTGTTATTAGTTACTTACAGAAAAATTCTGATATATATTTATCATGTCTATGAAAATTTTGAAGAGGATCTAAAATTTCAGTTATCGTTTTGAATAGACATGAGATGTTAAAATTATTAATAGAGACATTCAGACATCGACGGCAAATTTGCATTTCCATTTTCTGTACGCTCTGAGGGCCAAGAAAACATCAAAACAGACATCCATCAAACTCACTCCATTACAGTACTTCCCTTAGTTATCAATGAGTAATTACTAGGCTAGCAAACATTTAATGCTTGGTTGTAAAAAATATAAACAGTTTCAGCAGACAACCTCTGACGAAGCTGAAACAATCGGCAGAAAGTTCACTCAATTATTAATGTGTTGTCATTTGTACACAAGTTTTTTTAAATCTGGCGTTGTACCAAACGGCTTTAAATAAACAATGTTTCATTTTAATTCTGTTTTGTAAACAAACATTAATCTGTTTGATGTGGAGTCGAAATTTTCATTTAAGTCATTAACTCGAAAATTTACATAAAAATTGTGCTGTTCTAGTAACCGTCGTGATTCCACTCTTCTTAGCGAAACTGTATCTCAATTTACTTTACTTTGATATATTTTTTAAAAACTGAACGCTCATTCGCCTAACTTAAGTCTTCAAGATCTGGGTTCATAGAAATTAAACCTTTATCTCAAAGTTTTATATTTGAAAATATAGTTGTCTGGAATTACTAATACAAACTACTAAAATAAAATTCATTTAGAAATCAATGAATTCAACATAAGCGTTTCATGGTTTATTACAAAAAGGGAGAACATCATTTAACTTCAAACTTTCATAATTTTTGATTCATACAAAACATGAACGATATAAGAAAAAATAGCTACTTCGCATATTAATACATGTACTATAGAAATTAAAAAAATCAACTTAAGAATAAAATTTGGGCAAGCACCTTGCCTCAAACTACATATGAGAAGTCTTAAGACTCGTCGGGAGTATGCCAGGCAAGACGCTCTTCGTAGAACTGTATAACAATTTGCGGACATTTAACGTTGGCTTCTTTCGCCGGAACTAAATCGGTTTCATCCGTTCCTTTCCATTTCATCAAGAACATTAGTTGCCCTGTAGTGTCCGACGCTCCAATAATTTTTTCGGCTTGGTAACCCCTTTCAAACCCAACTTTTTGTTTACCCTTCCCAGCCTTATCCTTGTTCTTGTCGGACTTCGAATCGGACTTTCTGGACTTCTTTTTGGATTTTTCGTCCTCCTCGTCGGATGAATCAGACTTGTCTTTCTTTCGCTCTGTCCTCTTTTTCTTTTTTGTTTTCTCACTCTCGGCATCAGAAGAATCGGATTTATTTTTTTCGTTATCTGAGTCAGCGTCTTTTTTTGAGTTTTCTTTTTCATCTTCGGACCCCGAATGCCTGCGGGCCTTTTTCGATTTTGGTTCGTCGTCCGAATCGTCGGAATCGGCTGCTTTTTTCTTTGAGCGACTTTTTGATTTTTTGTCGGATTTATCGTCACCATCGGGCGACTTTGAACGCTTAGATTTCTTCTTTTCGTCTTTCTGGAAAGAATAAAGAATACAATTGTAATCTGATATGAATCAAGTTTAGATAAGTTTTATATTTACTTGTCACTTCTGGAAACCTAGAGCGTTTAATACGACTTTTGGATATTATATTGGATTAGGATGTCAAAATTGAAACCCGAACCCAACAAAAACACCCATCAAACCCGATAAACACAAATTTTTTGCACGAACACGTTTCTCATTACATGCATTATCTTTAATTTTTTTAATTTCTGACAATATCGTAGTTAAGGACTACCAAATCGATTCAGACACGGTAAATCTGATCTATATTGACATTAACACTCTCATTTCTCTCCCAAACAAGAAGTTATTAATAATAAACTTCTAATTATTTCATTTATTTATATTTAGTTTCCTTTTTTGTTAATACAAATTGTTTACTGTTATTTATACAAAATAGAGGCGGTGACATTGTATTCATTTTGATATTGTTTACTTTGTGCTTGGGCATAGGACACATGCAGATGACGTTAGCCACACAGTTATGGAATTTATATAACATTTACAATGGATGAAAACAGGTTAACCTTCAGGTATTCTATTTAAAGTATAAAACACGGGCATTTTAGCAGCAAGGATAACGACCTGGTTAACGTTTCTCCAAAAATCTATATTTTAACAAAGAAAAACTCAAGAATGATTTATCTTTCTGTGGATAACGGAGAGATAAGGATAACAAAGATATTATCGACGGTAAAATGAAACAACCTGATTATGATATCTCAAATGGACATTCCACAAACAACTTGTTAAGTTTTGAAAAACCACTGCGTAAAAAAAAAAAAATTATGCTTCTATGGAGTTACAAATCAAACAGAACCACTACAGAACTAGAAACACGCTTAATAACCTAATTTTTTAAGCCAATTAAATTTTTTTTTACTTATATTTCCGAATTGTTTGTATATTTTTGAGATTTTAACAATAACGAGATGCATAATACTTGAATGAGATAATGAAAAAAGTATTCACAAGGCATTTTTCTATAGGTTTTATAGTCTATTTTTCCATTTTTTTATGTACAATTATCAATAGTCTAAAATATCTCTGCAAAATTTATAGCATGACTGTGATGACTTTGTTTTGTATTTCAAGGTTTTTCGAAGTACATACATTTTCAGCAACATACTTTGAAAAATGGCATGTTCAAACATTACACTGACACAAATTTCAATATTCCTCATGATCATGATTACCCTGAATGCTAGGATTTTTATATTGATCAAACAATTTATTGTGTTAAAATCTTTTTCAAACATTTAACCAACAATTGATCGACATTCTCCATAAACCACAACTCATGCAGTCATGGGTTAAGGAATGATGAATTTCACATTTTCACAGCACATACCAAGTTTTAAAAGACAATTTTCACACGGTTACCTTTTTATCGGATTCAGACTCAACAGAAGATGTGGAATTTACTCTAGATCTGCCTTTACTCTTACTACTGGAAGAACCCTTCGCCTTGGCTTTTCTGGACTTTTCAAACTCTGCTATCAGGTTGGGGCAATCTAGGTTGTCTTCAGGCTCCCAGGTGTTGTCTTCATCTGAATAACCTTTCCACTTGAGGAAATATTCTACCTTGCCATTAACAACCCTCCTGTCAATAATCTTCTCAACAGAGTATTCCTCTTCGCTTTCGCTCTCTTCGACCTTCTTTTTAGCCATTTTTGCAAATTAAGACCAAAAAATGTGATGCCCGGTCAAAGACGCTACGCTTCTAACCAAGTAAACACAATGTATTGCCTAAAAATAGTTTGTAAAATTATTCCTCAAATATTTACAAGTTGATTAGCAATATGATGAAGTGATTTCTCTTCTTACTTTTAATTCTGAGTATTGAGAAGATTCCCACAAAACACCGCCGAAACTCACGATAATGGCGCCGAAAATATGGCGATTGGCGGGTGGCGGTTAAAGTAAAAAGGTACACCAACCACGCGAAACCAAAACCGTTTCTAGTAGTTACAAATTGTTGTTAAATCGACAACTCTTCCAAAAATGTCCATCCGAAGTACTGTGACTAAAGTAGGCCGATTTGTATTTTGTTGTTATAAAGAAAATTAGGCACCTTAAGACAATTTCGTTTTAAATTAATTGAAAAAGGCGGTTGGTATTGACAATCACTAAACATTCTTTTGTTAGGGATTTTCTCACTACTTCTTAGTTTGATTTATTGATTGTTGTTGGCTTGTTGCGTTCCAAAAAAGCTAGGTTAGAAGTGTGACATTTTTACGATGAACAATAAATAGAAAATGAGCACGGACGACATGGATAAATCGCAGCTTGCAGCAGTTCTGCAAATTTTAAAAAAATATAACCTTAAGGTAACCTAGTGAAACATGTGTGAGTCGTAATTACATTTTTTTAACAGGGCACTGAAGAACTCCTTCGAAAGGAAGCTAATTTGAGTAGTAATTTAGGGGATGGTTCTCTACAACAAAGTTCCGATGTTAGCAGTGTTTTAACGGGATATAAGAGTGATGGTGATCCTGAAACTTATGAAGATTGTTACATGGAACTGAAACGTTTTGTTGAGGGTTCACTCGATATATACAAACATGAACTAGGGATGATTTTATATCCAGTCTTGGTTCACATGTATTTGGAATTAGTTTATAATGGACACACTGAAAAGGCAATAAATTTAATGAGAAAGTTTGGGCCTGAACAAGACCCTTATTATCAAGATGACCTCAGAAAATTGGCTTTGGTTACTAAAAGGGATCACATGAATGGAAATGAATTGACAGATACTTTTAAATCAAACCAGTTTATTATCAGGATGTCTCGCGACACTTTGTCATTGTTGAAGCGACATTTGAATGATAAAAAAGCGTCAGTGTTATTAAACATCATTCAAGAACATTTGTACTTTGATATGTATGAAGGTGTTGCGAGGAATAAGAATCAAATTGATGCTACTTCAGGAGCTGTGGGTGGTGAAGCAAAACGTCAAGGTGCATTTTTATTATAATAATTTTTTACAAGTATATAATTTTAAATGTTTCAGATAATAAGACCAAAGTCTATTATGGCATACCCAAAGCGCCAGACATCCAGTCTTTAGCCGCACCAGTTGAAGATGAAGATGAAGCAGCTGACCAAGATAATCCTGACAAACCCAAGAAGAAAAAAGCAAAGAAAGATCCTCTATTTTCAAAGAAAACAAAAAATGATCCTAATGCGCCACCTTCTGACAGGATTCCTGTTCCAGATTTGAAGGACAATGATAAGTTGGAAAAGATCAAGGCTTATAGAGAGGCTTCAAAAAGAGTGACTTTGGGACCAGAGTATCTACCTTCAGTGTGTTGTTACACCTTATTAAATGCAAATTATACGTAAGTTTTCTATTTATGTGATAGTATTTGGTGGTAATTGTGTGGATTTTAGAGTTACTTGTGCTGAAATCACAGAAGATTCCAGTATGTTGGCTGTTGGTTTTAGTGATTCCATTGTAAAAGTTTGGACGTTAGTTCCCCAAAAACTAAAATCTATGAAAACTGCTGAACAATTACAAGATGTTAATGTTGATGCAGAAGACGTTTTGGTAAGTATATTTGGCAGTGATTAAGTTTTTTGGGTTTTTCAATGATGATGGAAAAAAAATGAATGACTGATTATAATAACTGTAATTATTACAGTGATTTTTACATATTTTGTGTTTTTTTTTGTCTCAGTTTACGGAAATGGAAAACGGGGATAAATTAGGGATAATTAGTAATATTTCTCCCTCTATTATTCATCAATTTAGCGTGTTTTTTTACCTCGTTAAGAGCCTGAAAGCTGAAGATAAAAGAAAAACGAGCTCTGCTGGAAGCCTTTGATTTAAACAATCATAATAATTTTTCTTAATAAATAAATCCAAACGCACTAAAATTACTTAGCGAACTGTTGACAACTTGACGCTGTTAATCCGAGTTAGCATTAGCCAAATTCTAAAGACACCTCTTTTTTGTTTATATTAAGGCGATGTATTTTTAGTATGTTCACATCATAAATATCCACCAACGCGCTGATTTACATTGTAGACAACTGTCAACGGCAATTTAGGTTAAATTTTGCTTTCAAGCATGTAGCATGTGCTAAAATTAAAGAATTACAATGCATCCGTCATCGTAGAACACACTTTTCTTACACTTATTATGTAAGAAAATAGAAAATAAATTGGGATTATTACGAATTTAAAAAAAAATTGGTCGAAAGTTATTTCGACAGCCCAACAAATCCCGCAAAAACCAGTGGCGTAAATAATACTGCCGCAGCCGGTATAAATTCCAAGGGGGCGCGGTCCGTACAATATCAAATAAACATATTTAAAGCAGATAACAAACGGGAAAAAATGCTTTTCACAAAAATCAAAAAAACTGGAAATTCGAAATATCGAACAATCGAAAAATTCAATAATTGAAAAATCTCAAAACTGAGACATCGAAAAATTGAAAAGTCGGGAAATCGAAATTGAAAATCGAAAAGCCCAAAAACCGAGAAACCGAAAAATTAAAAAAAAAATCAAGAAATTGAGTAATTCCGAAACACAAATGACTAAAAACTGGGAAATCGAAAGATCAAAACATAGAAGTCTCGAAAAATCGAACGAAAAACTGGAAAATCTAAAATTTTAAAAATTGAAAAATTTTGAAAATGGAGAAATATCGAAGAACTGAAAAATCGAGAAATCGAAAAGTTCGAAAATTGAAGAATCGAAAACCTGAAAAATCAAGAAATTGAAATCTCGAAAACAGAAAAATTGGAAAATTGAAGACCCGAAAAATCGAAACATCGAAAAATTGAAAAACTGAAACAAATTGAGAAATCGAAAAGTTTAAAAGTGAAAAATTTAGAATTAAAAAGTGACAATTTTGGAACCAAAAAAATCGATAAATCGCAAAATTGAAATATCAAAAAATGAGAAATTGAACAACCGAAGTATCAAAACAGAAATCTCGATAAATCGAACGAAAAACTGGATAACCTAAAATTTGAAAAATTGAAAAATAGAGAGATATCGAAGAACTGAAAAATCGAAAAATCTTTAAAAAATAGAAAAATTGAAAAATCAGAACGCCCAAAAACCGAGAAATCGAAAAATTCGAATATTGAAGAATGACAAATGAAAAATTGGGAAACTGAAAAATTGAAATCTCGAAACATCGAAAAATTTGAAAATTGTAAAGCCGAAAAATGGAAACATCGAAAAATTGAAACATCAAAAAATCGAGAAGTCAAAAAATTGAGAAATCCGAATGACCCAAAATCGAAAAATTTAAAACTGACAAAAAAACGATAAATCGCAAAATTGAATATCGAAAAATGAGAAATTGAACAATCGAATGATCAAAACATCGAAATCTGGATAAATCGAACGAAAAACTGGAAAATCTAAAATTTTAAAATTTGAAAAATATCTAAAACATGAAAAATTAGAAAATTGAAGAATCGAAAAACTGAAAAATCAAGAAATCGAATAACTTCAAAACACAAAATGAGGAAAAATTGGGAAATCGAAAAACTGAAATCTCGAAACATCGAAAAAAAATTGGAAAATCGATAAGCCAAAAAATCGAAACATCGTAAAAGTGAAAAACTGAAAAATCGAGAAATCGACACATCAAAAAATCGAGCAGTTGAAAAATTGAGAAATTAAAATAACCGAAAATCGAAAAGTTTAAAATTGAAAAATTTAGAATAAAAAAAAAGTGAAAAGTTTAGAACAAAAAAAATTCGTTAAATCGCAAAATTGAAATATCGAAAAATAAGAAATTGAACAATCGAAAGATCTAAACATAGAAATCTCGATAAATCGAACAAAAAACTGGATAACCTAAAATTTGAAAAATTGAAAAGTAGAGAAATATCTAAAGATCAAAACATAGAAATCTTGATAAATCGGATGAAAAATTGGAAAATCTAAAATTTAAAAATTTGAAAAATCGGAAAGTAGAGAAACATCAAAGAACTGAAAAATTGAAAAATCAAAATGCCCAAAAACCGAGAAATCGAAAATTGAGGAATCGAAAAACTGAAAAATCAATAAATTGAATGATCCTAAATCACAGTTATAAAATTGGGAAATCGAAAGATTGAAATCTCCAAACATCCAAAAATTGGAAAGTTGAAAAGCCAAAAAATCGAAACATCGAAAAATTGAAACACCAAAAAATTGAGAAATCGAAATGACCCAAAATCGAAAAGTCTAAAATTGAAAAATTTAGAACAAAAAAAATCGATAAATAGCAAAATTGAAATATCGAAAAATGAGAAATTGAACAATCGAAAGACCAAAACATAGAAATCTCGATAAATCGAACGAAAAACTGGAAAATCTAAAATTTAAAATTTTGAAAAATTTAAAAATAGCGGAATATCGAAGAACTGAAAAATCGAGAAATCGAAAAATCTTTAAAAAATAGAAAAATCGAAAAGCCCAAAAGCCGGGAAATTGAAAAATGGAAAAACTGAAAAATCAAGAAATTGAATAATTCCAAAACACAAATGGCGAACAATTGGGAAATCGAAAAATCTTTAAAAAAGTAGAAAAATTGAAAAGCTCAAAAACCGAGAAATCGAAAAATTCGAAAATTGACGAATCGAAAAAATGAAAAATCAATAAATTGAATAATTCTAAATCACAAATGAAAAATTGGGAAATCGAAAGATTGAAATCTCGCAAACATCGAAAAATTCAAAAGCCGATAAATCGAAACACCAAAAAACTGCAACACCAAAAAATCGAGAAGTTGAAAAATTGAGCAACCGAAATGACTCGAAATTGAAAAATTTAGAATGAAAAAAAGTGAAAAATTTAGTACAAAAAAATCGATAAATTGCAAAATTGAAATATCGAAAAATGAGAAAATGAACAATCGAAAGATCAAAATACATATAGAAATCTCGATAAATCGAACGAAAAACTGGAAAATCTAAAATTTAAAAATTTGAAAAATTGAAAATTTTAAAAATTGAAAAGTAGAGAACTATCGAAGAACTGAAAAATCGAAAAATTCGAAAATTGAAAAACTGAAAAATCATTAAATTGAACAATTCTAAATCACAAATAACGAAAAATTGGGAAATCGAAAGATTGAAATCTTGAAACATCGAAAAATTGAAAAACTGAAACATCAAAAAACCGAGAAGTCGAAAAATTTGAGGAATCGAAATGACCCAAAATTGAAAAGTTTAAATTGAAAAATTTAGAATGAAAAAAAAAAGTGAAAAATCTACAACCAAAAAAAAAAATTGATAAATTGCAAAACTGAAATATCGAAAAATGAGAAATTGAACAATTAAAAAATCAATACATAGAAATCTCAGTAAACCGAACGAAAAACTGAAAACTTTTAAAATTCGAAAAATTGGAAAATTAAAACATCGAGAAATCGAAAAATTAAAGCCGTGAAAAATGCGAAAACTGAAATATTGAAAAATTGAAGAATCGATAAATTGAAAGATCCCAAACGAGGGTCATCGAAAAACTGAGAAATCGAGAAATCGAATCATTGAATAGTCGAGAAATTGATAAATCAAAAATTCGATTAATCCAGAAATTGCGAAAAATGGAAAAATCGAAAATTTAGAAACGTCAAAAATTGAAAAATCGTGGAAATTATATATCGGGAAATTGAGAAATCGAAGTCGAAAATTTTAAAAATCGAAAAATCGAGGTAAATCGAATCATTGAAAAGTCGAGAAATTGAAAAATCAAAAATTCGATTAATCGTGAAATTGAGACAAATGGAAAAATCGAAAATTTGAAGAATCGAGAAATTAAAGAATCGAAAAATTTAAAAATCAAGAATTTGAAAAATAAAAAAAACGAAAAATCGAAGTGGGTTATATCAACAATTTTGTTTTTTTTTTCCAAAAAATCCCGATGTCTAGGATAAAAATTCGAATTCATAAACAAGTGCAGGACTATGTTACTTAACATTTAAATAACAATTCGGATAAATTTTTTACCACTTTATATTTTTTTACAAAAATCTGGACGCCAAAGTTAAAAATTCAAGACAGATTCATAAGCCACAAATGGAGGAGTACGTTATTTTATAAAATTTAAATATCATTTACTGTTAGTTGTAAAATTTGGGATGACGTCATTCATGATGTTGGTGGAGATAAGCATCAGACAAATTTTGGTTAGCGTTTTACCATTTAAACGATATTCCTAACTAACATACAACACTGAATTACTCGATTACAATACTTTCTTAGCTTACGCTTGGCAAGTAAAATGCTTTTAAACCGAACATATTTCACGTGCTATAAAAAAAAAAGAAAAACGTTTCAAAAAATCACCCAGTGTATGGAAAGAAAGGATTTTCCTTTTACTGTCCACTGAGAAATTTCTCGAATTCATTTATTGCCTAATATTTTTGAGATATATGTTAATATACAGCCTGACTGGGGTTTATTGTGACAGATTTTAAGGGGTGATAGTTTGCATTATTTTGAGTAAAAAACCTTAATAACATTTACAGCTCAGACTTATTCCAAAAGAGTTATAGAATACACAAATTTCATAGCCCACCGGTTGAAAACCGCTGGAATTCACCTGATATATTGAAATTTTTACAGTTGTTTTATTAGAAACCATGACAATAAATTCAATAATAAAATAATACTTCTGTTTGACAATTTGTCAAAGTATCTGTGAACATGTTTTAATAAATTTAAGATGGATGTCAATGGGTATTCACTTAGAGAATTAGCGGACATTCATTTAATTTATGGAGAGGCACGCGGAGTAGCCCGTGTGGCAGTGCGTTTGTATGGCACTCGTTTCCCTCACCGACGGTTACCCTCAAGAAGAATGTTTCAAGATCTGCACCAGCGACTCCAAGAAACGGGATCCTTGTTACCTAGAAGAGTAGAACGAGGTCCACAACGCCCTCAGCGAATTGTCAACATTGAAGAAGAGGTGTTGGATGTTGTACATGATGATCCTGGAATTAGTACAAGATGCCTTGCCAAACGATTTAATGTGTCTCAATGGACCATTTGGAGAACACTACGAGAACAGTTGTTATATCCATACCATGTTCAGCGTGTACAAGCTCTATCTCCAGCTGATTATCAACCCCGTTTTGCATTTTGTAGTTGGTTTCTACGAAAGGTAGAAAAAAATCCAGACTTTCCTCGTATTATTTTGGCATCAGACGAGGCAGGATTTACGCGTGGGGGAATTTTTATTTATCACAACGTTCACGTTTGGGCAGATGAAAATCCGCATGCCATAAGACAAACCCGTTTTCAGCAGGAGTTTTCAATTAATCTATGGGCCGGTATTGTAAACAATTATCTTATAGGACCTTTTGAACTACCCCCGCGGTTAACGGGTGCCATTTATTGGCGATTTTTAAGAAGAAATTTACAGGAATTGTTGGAAGAAGTGCCGCTACATATCCGGGAAAGTATGTGGTTTCTACATGATGGGGCGCCACCTCATTTTAGCCGTCTGGTACGACAGTTTTTAAATGTTCAATTCCCTGAAAAATGGATCGGGCGAGGCGGGGCTCAGCATTGGCCTGCCAGATCTCCCGATTTGAATCCGCTAGATTTTTTCTTTTGGGGCCACATGAAGTCGTTGGTTTATACAGAAGAGATCAGAACAGAATATCACCTCAGACAACGAATCCATGAAGCCACCAATATCATTCGCGGGGACCCGGAAATGCTCCAACGAGTGCAGGAGCAATGGATTCGTCGTGCCAATGCTTGTGTGAGAATGAATGGAGCTCATTTTGAGCATTTGCTTTAATAAGGTGTTTAAAAATAAATAAAACTACTAACAGTAGTATTTAATTTTTTCTACTTCCCTTTAAAATCTGGCACAATATACCCCACTCACCCTGTATATGATTTGAGGTAGTACCTACTGTCCTTCAAAGGTACGCATGCGTACAAAAAGTCGAATAAAGTATAGTATATCATCGACAAAATTCTTGTAACAAAATAACATAAATAAATTATAATCAATGATCTTATATTGTCCATATTTTGAAGGTCGACCACTTGTTGATCGTAATAAAATCCTCGACGGACAATTTAATGATGCAAGCGCATTAAAATTTAACATCTCGTCTAAAAGTTCTATTAGAAAACGATGGCAACAGAGATTATGATACTTGGGTGACACCTCAGAAGCTCAGATCACCTGTTGTCATATATATTTCCGACGTAAATTGCCATGCTAATGGATCTTAAAAATGTGAATCAAGTTTACATATCAATCATACGGCTGTTTATTTTTGGTACCTTTGATTTTTTCTTTTTTAAAATTTTATATTGTAATCTTCAAAACTGAAGTCAAGAAATTAATGAGCACTAAATAATACTACTAAAAAACAAATCTGCTTCAATCAAAAACAACAAAAAATGTAAACCAACGCAAAAATAGCATGTTACCAACTGTAAACACCGGCGCCGAATTGACATCAACAAAGAACTACACTCAGGTGAAATCATTTTTATTTATTTAAATCGAATTTGGCAGCGACGACTTACCTGTCAACGTGGAAGCTTTCCAAAATATCAGCTAAATGCTGCATGGTAAATTGTTATGATTTGTTTTGATCAAATGTTCCCGACAAACTAGACGAAAACAACTAATCACCTCTTTTAAGGCAAGAATGATGGACGAACGCTCCGGCGAGACCTCCAGATCGCTGTACGGCCACGCAGGACCCGTTTACTCCGTATCGTTTTCGCCAGACCGGACTTTACTGCTGAGTTGTTCCGAAGATACGACAATCCGGTTATGGAGCCTGCAAATCTGGACGTGTCTTGTGGTCTACAAAGGCCACATGTTTCCGGTCTGGGACGTGAAATTTTCGCCCTTGGGCTACTATTTCGCATCAGCTTCGTACGACAGGACTGCCAGACTCTGGGCCACAGACCATTATCAACCTTTACGGTTATTTGCGGGCCACTTCTCCGACGTTGATGTAATTTGGCTATTTTAAATTTAACGTTTCCCGACTTATTTATTTCTTTTTTTATAGTGTGTACAGTTTCACCCGAACTCTAATTATGTGGCAACGGGATCCAGCGATCGACGGGTTTGTCTGTGGGATTGCACCACCGGAAACCACGTCCGGCTAATGACGGGCCATAAATCGCCCATTATGTCTTTGGCTTTTAGCGTTTGCGGGAGATTTTTGGCGTCAGCGGGGGCAGATTGTAAAGTTTTAATTTGGGATTTGTCTCATGGACATCTTGTGGCCGAGCTTACGGGACACGAGAAGGCTATTCATGCGCTGGCTTTCAGCAGGTGCGGGAACATTTTGGTTTCAGGAGGCTTGGATTGCATGCTGAAAGTGTGGGATTTTACTAAACTCACTGAAGAGATTAGCTCGGAAGAGGTAAATGTGTCGCATAATCCCGACGTTCGAATCGGGGACGACTATTTACTGCGAAGTTTTGCCACGAAAAGTTCACCTTTGATCAGTCTTCACTTTACGCGAAGAAATCTGTTACTTGCTGTTGGGATGTTTGATGGTGTTCCTACGTAATTTATTTAAAGAAGTGTACTTTTATATTTACATAGATTTATTTAGAATAAACTCTTTTTTAATTAAGATGTTTTTTGTTGGGCTTAATTTTATGAATCGCGAAATCTCCAGAAATAACACAAAAATTTCAAAATAGAATAGTGGGTTGAAAATAAACAGTGTCAACAACATTAAAAATGTGTGTGCCAGGACGTTTAAGAACCCTGCCAGAGTTATTATTTATTTAATATTTTCTATATGACGAAGTGAAGTTTAAAATAATATTGCATAAAAATATCGGCATCAAAACGGTTATGTCATTGTTTGGCGATCTGGGCCGCACAACAAAATATTGGCAGGAAAATGATGGCGTAAAACTATTCTTTTTTCACTCTGAAATAATTAGTTCTGTTTAACCAAGTTGGTTTTGGCATGCGGTCAAAAATAATGTAAACATGGATGTATTTTCGAAACAAATTCCGTTATGATTTGAAATTAATTTTCTTATGTAATTACGAGACAAGTGATGAGATCAGCCTTTGCTGTTATTGTAGTAGTGAGGCGTAAACAGGCGTTTGAAAATTTTACAGCAACAGTAAAAAATTAACTCGCAGAGAAAAAAAATGTAATGATCGTAAATCTTGTCGATTTTTAAAAATAAAACCTTTGAAAACAAAGCTTTACAATCGCAAAACAAGTAGCTGCTTTGAGTCTCATTAAAAAATTGAAAACAAATGTATTTACGTGGAAAGTGGATTTAAAGCGTTTTCAGAGTAATGCGCCGTAAAGTTTATGAAGTTAACTACCAATAACTACGGAAAACTTATAACAGGATATACTGTGAATTACTGCGACTATTTTTAACGCATTTCGTGAGAGAATTGTTTGTCTTCCAAGATCATAAATACGAAACGGAGAAAGTGTACTTGATAATCGAAAATTCTCACAATTGACTGACCAATTTTTTTCTTATTTCAAATATCAATAATCTTGAATTAATTATTATAGTAATAATTATACGGCGTGTTCGTGTATGATTTGTCACAGATGAATGTGGTAAAGATAAATTAGGAAACATTTTTCTTGTTTTAAAAAGAAAAATATTCCCGAATTTTTCTTACGTGTCGCGACGCCTCAGTTCACTTCTTTTTTGGCTTACACTACTTTTTGCCACAAATAACACACTATGATGCGGTACATATCTGTCACGGCCTACGTTATACTTAGAATAAAATGTTAGAATACCTGCAACATTTCTAAAGACGACTTTCATACCACTGTTTATGAAATCTTACATAAAAAACAACAGAAATGGTTATCACGTCTATAATATGGAAATTACTTAGGGAATAAACAGGTCAATTGATTTTTTTAACTGCTTTTTTTACGTCGCTCCTGGTTTGTGACGCCACCAAATTTTGATGATGTCATAAGAAGTTACAAGTTTACATAATACTTTCGAAAAAAAAAAGATAAACGTATCTTTGGGTGTCTTCTATTTAAAAGTACCTCATAAGTTCATCGTAACTAAACAGTTCGAAAGCCAACACAAAATGAACACTGCGTTCTTAAACTAGTTTAAGATAATCTAGATTCGACTTCCTTGTATTATGATTATGAGCAGTCTATACAACTCATTCGTTAATCGTTAAAACACTTAAAATGTGTATAATAAAGACTACTATACTAAATTTAAGTTTCCTGGTATGGTGTTCGAAAGCGCGATCAAAAATGTATATGACGTCATTGTTCAAAAAATAGTAACTATAAATCATTAAAAAAAAAAGTACCTGCTTCAGAGGTTCTGTAAAATAGTAAGATTTTAAATCACTGTATTTATTCAAACCAATTTCCACAACGAGCACATAAACGTACGTTTATTACTCTGAAATCTAGCAGAACAGTGTATCCTGTTACGTAGTAATGGAGCAACAAACATGAAATACATTCCTCTAAAAAAAAATAATCAAGTCTAAAATTCGACAAATTGGCAAATATTAATTTCTGTTTTTTAAGTTTTGTGTGTATAAAAAAACTTGTATACAGTTTCATTTCAAGATTTCAAACTGCACGTTGGAACGTTCGTTCCCAAAAACCGCCAACCATTAAAAAATTGCGGCGTCTAAATAAACATAAATAATTTTCCCGACAAAATCGAACCCCAAGAGCCGGCAACCTGAATCTAAAAATGTTCTGAGCATGACCAATCTTACAACATTGCAAGTATCTGGAAACAGTTTACGGTTGGGATGATGGAGTAACCCCACCCCCAACCGTACGTCATTGGCTGAAAGCTGTGCAGCATTGAGCTGAAACCTGGAAGCCAGAGCATCTTAAGCTGCAAAATAAGTAACATCTGCTGCAAGTGCAAGTAATCCAATTCAGCCTCTTCGTTGGTGCTAGGACGACTTAAGTAAGACTTAGACTTAATTATTATACGCTATCGCTACAACAAAAGCTCGCTGCTTTTCAGTCGGTTAGTCCAGAAGGCGCTAATATTAATCGTTAAGCCCAGTTAGGGTGGTAACGTTAATGAAATTGTCAAGCTGCAACTGGAAAGCTCCAGAAGCTTTTTCTTCAACGGTGTCCACCGATGGACATTTTCCAAGCTGCGCCAGATGCAGCCTTACATAATTTGCACAAATAAGCTCATAAACATGTCCAGCGTTCTTAACATATTGCATGCCTACTTTAAAAATAAACGTGTTTTCGCAAATCTTCGGTAGGTATATAGCGGGATTGAGAGCATCGAATCCGTCGACAGTTGGAGTGTGTCCAACAAACATTAACTATTTTTACCGAAAATTATCGAATTAATCTTCACTTTTCGCGTTTTTTAAAAGTGAAACCAAAAGCAGTAACGCTGCCACATAAATTCATCATATTATCTAATTTCGTGAAAATAGTCGAAGGTTTATAATTTTCAATATTTACACCGCCAAATATTTGGAAAGTGTGAGTGATTCCAAATACACCTGTTTTAACAAGTCGGTTTTTATTACCCGGCCCGCATATAAATAAATCAATTTATCATATTTTGATTTCTCATGTTTCTTCGCGAATGTCGCCAAATTATGCGCTTATTAAAATATACGGAAATATCAGATTGGCACGCGTTCAAATTTTTCTAACTGTTTATACAAGTGTGAACAGAGGTTTATTTAGTGGAACGATTAAAAATTGACATTGTTGGCGAAGGGCATGTAAACAAGCAAGTTCAAGGTGCGAGTCCTCCGAATGATATATCAATTGCGTAACAAAACCTCCATTGTCTAATCCTCGCCTCTTCCATTCATTAAAACCTCGAAATTAATTCCACTAACCCACTTCTGTGTTTTATTTTCAGGTTCTCGAGTAAAATTCTGTTCTATTTCAGTCAAAATGCCAGCCCCGAGTGCAAACGAAACCGGAAATCTGTTGACAACTTACTTGATCCTGATAGCTCTCCTAATAGCCCTCTGGGTGCTATATGCCGGCATTTTACAATAAGTTTTTTCTGTAAGTACAACGCAGCGTCTAATTGGCATAATTATTAATAGAAGAGTATTTATGGCTGGTTAGTTTCGAAAGAACGCCATTATTTCTGACCCATTTTCTTCGTCTCTGATTAATGAATGTGCTGTAAATCATGTTTGGCAGGGAAGGTGCTAAATATAACCAGCGACTTCCATCACTGGATGTTTACATCCACCATTACGCCTGACACAAGCTCCATTAACTTTGTTTGAAATTAGATACAGTAATTAGAAGTTTGGCGCACTTTTAACAACTGATTAACTAAACCATAAGGCGCTGTCAGTAGGAATCATGTCAAATATACATTTAGAGCCAGCTTATACATATAAGTGAGCTTAAGTTAATCACGTACTTAACGAGGTGTTTAGAAACGTCTGATTGGCGTAGTCGGTCACGTGGTACTTTAACGCAATGTCAAAAATTTAACTGAGTCTTGTGCTATAATATTTCGTTGTATACAAAACCGATGATATTAATAACGCAAATTTCAGGGTCGTTATCATCAGTCATTTATTAACCGGACCATACACCTAGCGTAATTATGGATTTAACAGCTGTTTAAAGACAAGTTGCTATTGCAACTTGAGTCAATTATTTGTATTTTTATAAGTATTAAGTACACTATGTTAAGTTTTAAATGTAAATAAACTTTTTTGTTTTTATATTGTTTTTTTTTAATAAACAAAAACACCCACATTCTTACTTCAATACATTTGTATTCTAGAATATAGTTATAAAAAAGATCACAGGAGAATATCAAAAGCGTTATATGTAACAAGAATTAAAAACGAAGTTACTCTGATATTCTTAACATAACTAAAAATACGTTTACACGATAGTTCATAGGAAAATATATTTTACAATATTCGTCAGACCATTGATCACAGAACAGTATTATCTTCAGTTTTAAACATCAGTGCTGCTTTCATTCTTAAAGAAATTATTACTAACAACAAATTGTACACATTGCAAAAGAACATTCCTTTCATGCCGAATTTCGCTGTCTAATAATTTTTCCAATAAAGTTACTCTACGTCTAAAGAATTTCATACGAGAAAATCCCGTTTGTAACGTTTTATTGTCATCTAAACACAGTTTCTTATTTTGTTTCTTACCAGCTACGGTCTTTCTTTTCTTACTTTGTTTCACTACTTTTGCTTCATTTGGTTGTTCATTGGGATATTCCATTGTCTGTTTTTCGATCTTCATTTCAATGGGGGGTCCGTCGTCATCAGACTGATTTTGAACAGCGTTATCTTCTTCGTCTGACATATACGCCCCCATGAGAGCTCCCAGTGCATTATTTAACTCAACCTTAACTTTAGTGTTTGATGATTCCGTCATCCATTCTTCGTCATCATAATCGCTAATTTCTTTTTCTACGTCCTCATGATACAACTCTTGTGTTCCCCGGAAGGGGAACATCGATCCATTCCAGTCGCATTTTTCATCAATAAGTGACTCCTTTGGTTTTTGTTCTGTTTTTACACCGCGCTTCTTTTTCTTAAACGTCTTCTTCTGCTTCACTCGTGAAACTAAAAATCAAGTCAAGTTAGTAGAAAATTAGAAACGACTCTTACGACTTACGTCTGGTTCTATCTTTCCCAAAACGATTCTTTCGCTCTCCGATTTTCTCCCCTCTCTTCAACATCTCTTCTTGCCGTTCGTACCTTTTTTGAACGTTTTCCTTACTAGGATATCGAACTTTTCGCTGTTCGATCCATTTCGCAATTTCTTCAGGTGTATTAACGCTACGGATTTTTTCATACAAACCTGTTACATGTTGCACTTCTATATGTTTTTCGATCAGGCTTGCGTGAGCCGTGTATTGGCAACCCTCCAACCCACATATTTTATGTTCAGATATGTGTTTTTCGTACGAGTGCTGCGAATACAAATCTTGTTCGCAGACATCGCAAAAAAAGAGTTCTTCTGTTTCTGGATTTTCGTCGCATTCTTCTTCAGATTCCCACTGACTTTCGCTAGTCTGTTTTTTGTGAAAAAGAAAATGCACGATTAATTGACATGTTTATGGTGGGTTTGAACGAATATGACGCTTGGTGCAATAAATGCTTACGTTAGAAGTAAATTGGCGTTAATTCCAATTAGTAATTAAACGTCAATCAAACTGACAAGTTATTACTACCATAAAATGAAACAAAAATGGAATTAAATATTCACAGAATTTAGCGTAAGTTATAACTCAAGTTATTCATTCCAACGAAAATTGTACAACGAAACACAAGCGGCAACTGGAATGCTGTTGCACCAAACCTCACACTGATGACAGATCTGCTACATGATCTAGTAAGAAGAAGATAATAGTTGCAAATATGACTTCTTGAAGTTGCTTTACTTTTAAAGTAACTTATGAAAAATTGTGTAACTTACGGGCATTTTCCATGTTTTGCAAGAAAACATTTGAGTTTCTTGAACAGTGAGGTGAAAATTTTAAAAGTCCAACAAATTTGTCTTTGGACATTCACATTGTTCAGTAAACACTGGAGACACGAAATCAAACGTACGATTGTACGTTCACAAAAATTTTAAATACACATTCTTGCAGTTCAACTAAAATCCTTGAACAAAATTAGGTCTACATTGAATATTTAAAACTGACTCGATTTACATCAACAGTCAGAGTTTTGACTCTTGAATAAAGTAAAGTTTTGAATGCTTAATCACACATGGAGACATCATGTGCAAGTATTTTATTCAAGATAAACTCTGCTTACGGTAGAATCAAAATATGATTAGACTTTTTTGAAAACTATTTTATTTCAACACGAATCTAAATTTACAAATATAATTATGGTAGGTATTAACTTCAGCATCTAATGCAAGGTACTAGTGTAAAAATAATAAGATTATGGTAAAAATGATCACAACACAAAGCATTTAACAGATGGATATTGTAATATAAAATGAACTATTTTGCATTTAAGAACATACATTTTGGAGAAAAAAAACTGCAAAATAATGTCTCGATACAATCAAAGTTTCACAAAGACAAATTTACATTTAAAACAATCTAGACAATCCAAAAAACACGAATATTGTGACCAAGAGACCAGAGTTAAGGAGAAAAAAATTGTTGTCGTTTAATAAAATTATGCTGTAGCAACTTCAGTATTTGTGGTCTCAGTTGGAGGCTGAGACGTGTCATTGTTAGTTTGAGTTTCTAAATTTTTGTCCGTCTCTGCCTCGGTATCTTTTTTGCTATCGTCCTGGAAAGAGACCCAAAAAATTTAGATAGATGAATTATAAGTTTCAACACAGAAAAATTTACGATTAGCATTTACCAGAAACAATGAACTCATCGGGGCACTTTAATCAAACATGTCTTTTACTTTCCAGTCATTAACAATCAACATTTTGTACCCAACGTGGGCAAGTACCAAAAGCACAAGAGGCACTAGTGAAAGGGTCACCATCTATATCAAACAATCCTTAGGGTAAACAATTTGGCGGAAATATCAAATATGTTTGATTAAGGAGCTGGCCAATCAGCAGTACTCAAACTAATTCTAAACTACATACTATGCTCGACAAACGGATGTGCAAATGTATGTAGGATAACTTAAGGACGTGAATGATTTGAATTTCACGTTCTTTAAAACCTGTGTAGTTAGTTGGAAAAAAAACAAAACACGTGTCTCACTAAAGCAAGTGCATATATGTGAATAGAGGAAGAATAAATCAATTTTAGTCAGTGTTTCATAATTTCTAAAACAGTTTTCAAAATTAAAAAAAAAAAAAATTCTTACCATTTCAGAAACAAACTATTTCCACAAAAATTTCTTTGTTAATAAACAACAGGAAAAGAGGTGTGACGGCGTAATTTTATTAGAAGTATAAAATTTTAGGACAAGGTTGTATTTTTTTTTATTTCATGAAAATACTTTTTGTAACATAGATATTACCAAAGCAAGATTGCATATCTGGGCATATTAATAGGCATCTGATAATTTTTGTAAACACTAGTGTTTTCTTGAGGGGATGAATAAAGAAATTTTAATCTTACCAAAATTTAAATCTACTTTAAAAACTTCGAAAATTAAAATCGGTTCACAACCTTGCAAACAATTCTAATAATAATTTAATAAAAACCAATTCAACATTTTCTTTCTAACATTATTATTATTTCTTTAAATATCCAAATAACTACCTTCTGATACGACCCACGTTTGAGTACTTCTGTCTTGAGCTACGAATCAATTTCAATTGAAGTTAATTTCATAGAGTTGTAGTCTTTATATTATGTATTGTTTAGCCTAAGTAGTGCTTTGTAAGAAAATATTAAGTGTAAGATTGGTCCCTTAATACTAAAAAAAAAGTGAATCCTAGACAGCACCTTAACATTTTCTTCCTATAATACTGGGTTACAGCTGCTTTGGCACCTGCCTGCATATAGGTGGGGTTTGAAAAGGTGCCCCATCTTAGTGTGCATGGGGTACATGAGATTGTGATTATTATAAAAAATACCTATAAGTGGACGTCTGCTGTATAATCAATAGGTGCTGTTATTCGCGCGAAATTAGTGGCGGGCAAGAGCTGAGGGATACGCACCTCCTGCTGCCCAATGAACTCCATCTCAGCTACGTGGTACATCTGGCTGCACTTTTCTCTCTGACTCCTATACGTAGCCCAGGCCTCCTTATTATCCGGACCTGCACTCTTCGCCGCAGCCAGCAACTCATCCTTCTTCTTGAATTCTTCCTTAATGGCATCCGTAACCCACTTCTTCGTTAAATCTAAATCCTTAACCAAACCTTTCCGCTTCTTCATGATCCTTCCCTTCTGCACCCCCTTGAACATCCCCATGGGGAACTTCCGGTTTCTGTTCATTGGGCCTCCTCGTCTGAAACCCATGCCGCGCATCGGGGGCGGCCCGGGCGGCATACCCATCATGTGTGGCGGGGGCGGCCGCATTCCAGGCGGAGGCGGTCGCATGCCGGGCGGAGGTGGCGGCATCCTGGGGCCTGGTCCCATCATTCTAGGCGGCATCATGGGGCCGCGGGGCAGTCGGGGTGGCGGCGGTCGGGCGCCGCGAGGCGGGGGCGGTCGCATGTTCGGGGGGCCCATCATGGGTCGCATGCCCATCGGGCCGCCGCGGTTTGGCGGAAATGGACCTCGGGGCCTCATCATGGGTGGACTATCAAATGGCGTGAAATTGCCGTTCAATGGCCGACGAGGAAGGGGTTGCCTAGGTTTGCCAAAGCCGTTCCTCGCGCCAATGTTATTTGCGTTACCACGTCTGTTGCCTTTTCCCTGGATAGGAGCGCCCATTGATGGTTACAGCGAAGGGTGAAAAAGGTGAGGTAGTGTCTGCGAGTTTTTTTTGTCACTTTTTGTTGATTTCCTGCACCACACAAAAGCACGCCACTTTTCTCTTGTTACGTCACTTTCGATTTTAACACAGTGCTGCCAACCGAGTTGCCAATCTTGGTAAGTGGTGTCCCTGTTTTGTTTTTAAATTGATTAATTACGAGAATATTTACACTGGAAAAAAGCAAGGTGTGTTTGCACCACGGTTGTAGAATAGATAGGTTGATACACTAGCATACATTTGCATATCCCTGGTCAGCGACGCCAATTGTCGATCGCGTCGCCTGGTTTTTGACGTTTTAGGGACACAGAACTCTATAGGCATCTGTCTATAACCGATGTAATTAATAAAAGAAATCGTACTTATCGACTCCGATCAAATGTCATTTACAAATTTTGTATTGTTCATAAAGCAATGTAAACGAAAATCCCCAAAATAACTAGAATGATTTCCGCTCGACAAGGTAGAGGCGCTAGCTGTATGTGTCCTTTCCATGGATATAGGGATCGAAAAGAAGCGTCGCCATCCCAAGCCATTAGTGTACAAACCTATCTATTCTACAACCGTGGTTTGCACGTAGAAAACCCATATGGAAAAGAGCAATTTTCTTGTTTTCGTCCTTCAACCTCAACCAAACCATAAAAAAGTCGTCAATATGTCGGAAAGACTGCGCACTTTATCGTCAAAGTTAAATTACCGAGAAAAATAAAAATATCTCTTTGGCCTGTTTGGTATTATAAGCAACATTTTTCTTAATAAAAGTTGTAAAAATGAACTGCTATTTTGAGAACTGAATCTTATTTGCAATGGCAACAATGTCAATAGTACCAAATTAATGGCAACATTGCTTGCGCGAACTTGCTTATTTTAACCTTACTTACGCACGTCATCCTCACATCGAAGGGCAGTGGCGTATCTAGATGGGGGTTCGTCAGTTTTTTCTACAGAATTGTTGAAACCGGGAAAGAAATGGGTGTTTGAAAGTGTGCAGTTTTTCCGGTATAAATTTGAAATTTTTAGGTTTAATATTTTAAATAATAATCTACATAAAATTTTCTCCAGATTTGTTCCTACCCTGAAACAATGATATACAAAACTTGGAGATTTTCCATTAGTACAGAGAATGGTAAGAGCTTAACAATTGATGAAAGATGATTTTAAGTGGAAAGAAAAAAAAGGAATAAGTTCAAAACTTGCCCTAAGGATTGGTTTTAATTAAATTTTATTTTCAGACATTTCTTTTAAACGAAAATGTTGTTGGCTACGAGATTGTAGCACCTGACGCAGTTGTATCAAAGTTAGAAAAGTAAAAAATTGATTATGGAAGACATCGTTGTTACATTCTTAATCCAATTTAGATGAGTCCACAAAAGTTTTAGATTTGACTTAATAACATGATTTAGGTAAAAAATATAGACATTGTACGAAGATTTGAAACCTTTTTAAATTTCGAGGAATTATTAAATGCCCTTACGACTGAAATTGCAGCCAGCATTAAGAACGATCGGAGCTTACAATGTAGCCTTAATAAGTTTTCGTCTGGGTAAAATTATTAGAAGCAACAATATTGGTGCCAATGAAGGTCAAAAATCAGTATCTAGTTATGTCATATCTATATTATTTCTTAAAAAGGTACTTGATCACCAAAGTTACATATGTACAGTACAACACTTCCGTGCAAATCCAATTTTTATCATTAAATAAAAAATAGACATACAAATCTCAAACAGTAATAATTTAAAATCTTAACAAATATTATAAATACACATGAATATCGTATCAATAAAACTGTTCTTTAATGATAAAAAATGGCAATCTATCAGTACGACTAAATAAAGTATACAAAACATAGTGAAACTAAACTTATGCATAATCGTTACAGCAAATAATGGATATCACTAGAAATAAATATCACGATAAGTATTTTAAATAATAAAATTACACTCGCAACGATTGCTTTAAAACAGGAGTGTACTTTCAATGACGTACACTTACTAAAATTTATTTTTAAAGCAAAATTAATCATAGTTGGATCAGCTTACATTTTAACGCCATATTAAAATAAATTTACTTATACGTTTAATTTTACGCGAAGAGTGAGGCAATTAGAGTAACCTTTGTAACACTTTGTCTCCATAGTTAGAGCCTACAAATATATTCAGATGATTTGCGTCCCCGAAGACGCGTAATATAAAATCCTACATATACAGAAATTCTATCTAAAAATATTATATGTATCTTTAAAAATTATACAACAGTTTGATTTTTTTAAAAATAAAATCTTTGAAAGTCAAGCTGAGTGTATTACGTGTATTTATGATTTCTTTTAAATGCTTCCAACTCTCCTCCATGTTCACAGGAATTATTTTTACGAGTTCGACAGCTAACAAAGCAATAAAGTTGATTTCTACACCCTCTTGTCATCAGATTTGATTCTTTCAAGACATAACACTAACCTTTTTCGCAAAAGTACCGTTACAATTTTGAATAGAGTGTGCATGATCGAGATTCCGTAAATACTGGCTGAAGTAGAAAAAATCAGGGTTTGACTATTAACACTATCCAATATTTATACCAAAAGTTACTTTCCAATAAACTCACTCTGCTGGATAATCATACTTAGCAAACTTACGTCAAAATAACCAACTGTCCCGTATTTGTGGCATAAATGAGTCCTTGGCCTGAAGTCGGCAACCAACGAATACAGTTTACACTCTTATAATTAGTAGCTCTACTATCTCTATTCTGACCCAACTCCCTAAGAACCGGTAACCTATCTCCCGGCACGTTCTTCTGATCAATAATGAAAATCCTCGCCATCGTCCACCTGTCACTTGGCACAATTGATACTCTCCGCGACGCCAACCCAACCACCAGATGTCGACTCAAGGGCGAAAGGGCCACCGAAACGGCGTTTTGCTCGAAACTAGTGGTATACAAACACTGACCCAAGGTGTCCCATTTCAAACTGTAGACTCCTAAAATGCGAAACAGTTAATCTCGAATCCGAGATATTTAACTAAATCGTACCTAGCTTATTAGTTACGTTCAAGTAACCACCCGACGGTAATAAGGTCACTAAAATGGTCCCGTCTTTTGCTATATCCACACTAGCGTCGTTGTGGATCTTGCATTCGCTGACTATAATATTTTTCAAAGCTAAAATAAAAGCAACAGTTTAGTTGTACTAAAATGTGTGGAGGACGCACGATTATTGATGACTGGGATGTTCCCTAAGGAGATGTCCCACACCTGAATGCGATGATTCGGAGTAACAGTCGTTATCATATCACAGTCGTAGTTAGTTTCTCTTTGCGGATCATCGAGATCGGCGTCAAATGGATTGACGCTGGAGTAAAGAGGATGCAAGAATCTCGGCCTCAGTCCACTCATTTGTGGGAAAGTCCTCAACTCAGACATTCTTTCCGCCAGTCTTTGACGATGGGTCATTATTCTCTGATGAAACAAAGATGACTGCTCGGATATGGGTACATCGTTCACTTGAACCGACGGTACATTCCAGGGTCTAGGCGGATTCGAATTTGACGAAGCCTCTTCGTTATTATTATGAACTAAATTAACGTTGTTTGTACGATATAAGTTACTGCTTCTGGAGTTACTGTTGACGTACCATTCAGACTCATCATCGTTATCATCACTATTATTACTCGATACGTTTTCGAATCTTTGATTTCGCTCTTGGTTGTCTTGGTTGGAGTTCGAACTTGTGACGTCTTCATCTTCTCCTGTGTTATCCGAGTACCGCATTATCAAATCGCGCAAGCTACTCCAGCCACGTGTCATGTTATCACTATTGCTTTCGGGATTCGGAGGGACGTCCCTCGGTGGGTTATTATCGCTCGAGGACGTAGTGGGATCCGTGCCTAAATTTTGCGAGTGACGTCTCATGTTTAAATTTCTCAAGTACCTATTCAGCAACTGTCTCCTGTTAGTATCCGGGCGATTTGGCAACATTGCGTTGCGTCTAGCGTTATACGTCTGACCCAAAGCTCTATAAGCACGTCGCATCGTCAACCTCATATGTTGTAAACTTCGTGTCAGCTGTTGCGAATGGCTACTAAAGCGATTTTGAAGCATTTGCCCACACATTTGGTCTATCCGTGACGTCAGAGACTCTCTTTCCACGTCTAAATTCATGCCAGCAGGTGGCGGTATCGAATCGACAAGTTGTAAAAGCAACAAGTCTGAAAGTAGGAGCGCCATTGCGAGAACACTGTGTATCTGTCCGCGCAAACTCTGAGAAATATTCGCTCCTCCCAACTCTTCAATGTGTTTACTCATTCCATCCACAATCAAGCTTAGAAAATGGCGGGCGCCGAATCTCGAAGCGCCATCTTGAGTCACTATCACTGGTTCAGAGCGACCACTGCGAAACCGCCCACCTTCCAATCCATTACCCATAATCCTGTTCATTCGATTAACGCAGTCGTTCAACCTAATCGACAGAATTCGTTCACCTAATTCCGTCGCCACTGTTGAACGAGTTTGTTGTTGAGTAGCTTCTTGAGGTCTCGTGATAAGTCGGGTTTGTTCTGTGAGTAAGTGTTCGAGTCGGCGCGTCATGAGATTCAAACTTGAGGAATTTATTAGAGAGTAGCTAGAGAGATGACGTAGAGGGCTATTTGCTTCAGAGGGAGTCCTAGAAGGGGCGCTTCGACAAGGCCCGCTGTGTTTCATACCACGATCAGGCCTACCCGTGTATCTTCTAGGAAGGAAGAAAAAAGAACGTCTGTTGTGACGCTGAAGACGAAACAGACGCGACGGTGGGTAGGTTTTACGACCCGAACTTCTAGGCCTTGGTTGATTTTGCTCGGTGGAAGTACTAGCACTAGACGTATTGGGTTGTGGATTTTGCTGACTGGGTTCCTCGGACTGAGAGTCGTAGGGGCTAGAATCGCTGATTCTCGTACCGGCCATCATTTGCCTAACACTAGACATTCCAGTACTGCGACTTTCACCCGCTAACGACCTCATGTACCTGAGAAACTCCGTGATGAGTTGTCTGATTAACTGCAACTGTTCGACTTCGAACATCGTCCGATCGATTCGCTCTATACTTTCGACCTGATGCCTCAACAGTCTCGCTTGCCTCTGTATGTACGATATTGTCATATGCAATGACGTCATCAACGGCGACATGCCTTCGCCACTATTTTGATTTTGGTTATTTTCTGGAACTCTGGGATAGTTGTGGTCTGACTCCACCACACTCCTCCCTTCTGGAAGTGCGTCCCCTAAACTCCTAGTGTCACTACTAGTGGAGGCCTCTTGCGGTGAATTGTCTCGTATGTAAAATCTCTCATCGTTGAAACTCACTCGGGGTTCGCTGGATTCGCGTCTTCGATTTTCGTTTTGTTCAGAGTAATTGGGTAACATGGACATGGAACCTCCTAGATTTCTCAGGATGGTGTCAGATTGGTTCATTATGTTTTCTAAGCTTTCGGAAAAGCTGGTTAGCATGTCTGAGGTTTCGTTTGAACGAGTATTGGATCTGATGTTTCTGACATCGTTTAAGCTTGATTCTAAGCCTTGGACTATGTTTGAGTACATATTGCCTAAATTAACGAACGGTGAGTCTGTGGTACTGTCGGTATTTTCGGGTGGCTGGTTGTCTTGGGGGACGTTGTCTTCGGCGTTTGGACGTTCGGAGTAGTTGATTAGTTCGTCTATTGGAAATGTGTTACTGGTTGACAGGCGGCTACCTAGTAGATTATGGTAGAGTGTTAGATATTTTTCTTCTATTCTAATGCATAAATTTGAGTTTTATTTATTGACACCATTTCATCACTTATGGTAAAACATACAAATTGTAAATTAGTAAAACCATATTATAAGACATGCAATTTGCATATCACGTATTTTTTTAATTTATTGACGTAGATTGCATATTTTGTCGGTTTGAGAATATGTATGCATATTTATGTGTTTTACTTTGTCAGTTGAAAAAAATCGAAGCTAACTGTTTTCCTAAATTACTCGTAAAATCCGAAGTTAAGTCTGCTATTGTCATAGTTCGGACTTCTTAGAAGTCGCCGTAAATGGTTCATCAAGGGACAATACAATTTATTTATTATTGCCGTTTGGCGAAAGTTTGAGAACAGAGTTTGATTTATAAGGACGGTGTGTCTAAAGTCATAAAAGTTTAATTAGGTATATGTTGATTGAGCATACAGTATTTCATATCTGATATTGGCAAGTAAAAATGGGGAGAATAATTTAATGAAATATTTCTAATTCATTCATAGCTAGACATTGATTTGACACTGATCTCAATTTACAATTAAAAATTTTGAAAAACGTCTGACTGTTAACTGTAACAGCAAAAAAATGTGTAGTTTATAGAGTATTTATGTTTTATATAAAAATATGTTGTAGGTAATAAATTTAATTATTAATATTTCTCGTGTTTTTTGTTTTGTAGTTGTTTTTTTTTTCAGGTCGCCGGAGTAAATAGCATATGTGCATAAAACTGTCATATTTAGCAAAAATTGTGCATATTTCGAAAAAATGTTGTGCATACAGTTGGTTTCACAAAAAACGGGACAAGATGAGCAAATCAGGTTCTCATAAATCAATAAAAAGCAATGGGAATATGACGTTCATGTCACTGTCATTTGTCCCGTTTTTTTTTTAAACCAGCTGTATATATGGTATATTTTGAGAAATATTTGTGCATATAAATCCGTTTTTTACATATTATAAAAAAAAAGTAAATAGCATTATTATGATTTGCCTTTTTGGTACTTTCGTTGCTTAACGATTTGTAAAATTGCTGAAAATTTTCCCTCGTGTCTACAGCACAATCAAACAAATCCAGTTTCTGAATTACCTATAAAATTTGACTCCGCGAATTTTTGGCTTACTTTCGAGAAGTTTTTTTTTTTGTAATAACGCCTCTACACAGGTACGTACAACAAAATTGACAGTTCTTCGCGGAGTTAAAGAAGCCTGAAAAACTTATTGTGTTATAAAAATTTTAAGGGGAAAATTAACCCTTATCCTACCTTTTTAGAAGCTACTGAAGGATAAATAGGTAAAATTAATTTATTTTAGTAAATCCTAGCAACTGTAACAATAATAAAAAAATAAGAGACTCCTTTGTTGTTATAGAGACGAAAGATTACTTTTTTATCAGAGGCGTACAACGAATTTGGACATAAATTTTAATATTTTTTATCTCTAAAAGGAGAACACTTTTACGTGAACTTTTTTTTTACTTTTAGCGCCCACACTTCGAGACCAATTGCCGATTTTATTTTGTACGTACCTTTCAATAAGACGCTGTATACTACATATAAGTTTCAATTGAGTTTTTCTTAATAAAATGTGAGGACATCATCAACTTTTGAGAAAGGACAAATACCGGGTGTCTGGAAAATGGCGGATTAACTCTTCAGTACGTTATGTACGGAGGTTTCGGGAGTCCCAAAAAAAATAATTTTTTCTTTACGATGTAGATTACAAAAAAAAAACGTAATTTTATAAAAGTAAAATTGGCAACACTGCACGCACCTAATGCGTGAATATTATATCTCCGGCTTACTTTCTGATTTCTTACCAACGATGGTGACTGAAATCCACCTTTTATTTTGTTAGGACAATGACCGTAACAATCAATAGTGATTAATCGTCGTGCATTATTATTAATAAAACAAGCTGTTATTTTTCATCAATAAAAAACCAAAAAAACATTTAATAAGACATTTTTATGAATTATAAACAAAAACAAAACCAACAAAAGAAAAATCCATTAAAGCATAACCAACGAAACACTAGAGAAGATGTTCAAAACTCCTGCCTTGTGCTTGTAAGGACTCCTAATGTTTCCAAATTTTGATCATTTTTTGTAAAAATTAGTCATCAGTACTTGCTAAGAGAAAACTGATTTTGGCAAATGACATGCCCTCGACGAAAAGAAAGGGCGGTTGGGCGGGGCAAATAGCTGCTAAGATAAGACTGATTTTGGCACATGAGATACCCTCTAAGAAAAGAGAGGGTGGGTGGGCGGGGCTAGTCTTCCAAACAGGAATATCTAGAACCTCAAGATCGGTTTAAATTTCCAAAAAAAAAAAAAAAAATGCGAAGAGTTAAATACGCCATTTTCCAGACACCCGGTATATGAATTTGGATAGGCACTGTGCTCTCAGCGTTTCAGAAAAATGAGACACGTAGTTTTTTATTTTATCGATAAAATAAATCGCTTCATTCATTTTTTTAAGACACCTGTACAACAAAATTTAAAACATATGTGCATATTTAAGATTTACCTAGCACAAAGTTGAGATTACGTTAAATTGTAAAATTTTGTTGTGCAATTATGATTCTTTTCCCAAATTCTAGATATCTCGGTAACAAAATAAAGGGCGATTAATAAACCACATGTACAAAGTGTCTATATAATTTAAAGAATTTCGCCGCTTGTAAGGAATTTTTTTTACTATACAGTTTTGATTAAAATTTAAATTCAAATATGACAGAATAAATGTTCAAAGTGACACCCATCTTGCTACAAATGCTACCTAACAATTTTCGATAGGTATTATGATGTATGAATCATTTATAGACACTCTGTATATAACCACATGATTTTAGTAACTGCCAAATATCTCTCTCAATTCAATTCAAACAGTGCAACATTTCGAAGCTAAAATTTTTGCATATTTTGAAAGTGCTGCAATTAAAAAATATATAAACGCCTTTAAAATTTAAAACTTTGGTATTCTTTAAATTTGTGAAAGTGTAATTTTTTTTAAATGTATTGTAAATTTTTGCATTTACAATTTATTTAAATTTCTCAATGTTAATACACTCAAATGCACAAAATATCCACAGAATTGTTAAAAAAGACCCAAGACATGCATCTGGTTCTATAAAACGATTAAAATATTTTATTCATAACCACCGAAATCAGCATTTGTTCACATAATTAACGATTCACCAATATCGACGAAAAAAAAGTTTGATAAAGTTTTAACGAAGTCTCGTATTTTATAGCAGATACCTATGTTATAATCATATTGCTGATTTTTGTTTTGGTTTTGTTTCTGCGGGATTATATAAAATTGAACTTCCTTTTAGATATACTTACAACCAATGATAAACTATCACTCTACTAAGATCAATCTACATCATCCTCAGGTACTACAAGGGATAGTAATACTACCACACGCAAAAAGTAGTTACCTATCCTAAACGGAGAACCTCTTCTACACCTCAACGATGATCGGTTGTAGTTAACTCTCGTTGGCATAAACGCCGAGATCCTATGTGCTGGCAATCGCCGCCTAGGGTAGGCCCTACTGTATATAGGAGAACTCGTCCTCGAATGTATCCCACTGCTGCTACCAACGGGGCTTGAACGTGAAGCATCATCCGAATTGGAAGTGCCAGTTCTCGACTCCGACTGTTCCTCATGCCTCTGCAGCAACCTCCTAAACATACTATTTTCAACAGTGACCGCATTCGGTCGTATTAAATCTTGGTCGCGATTCGCCGACATAGAAATCGGCGAGGACCTCAAATCCGAATTATTCGTCTGTTCCTCTATACTAGGTCCTGCAGCAGGTGAAGACGTGCTTAAATTAACCGGGCTATTGTTGCTTGCCGTGGAAACATTAGGTTCTGCAGGGTTTATAGAAGTTTGGTTTTCGCTACTTTCCACTTCAGTCAGTAGAATTGTCATTAATAACTGTTCTAGTTCCATGATAAAGTTTCTAACGCCGCTGATGTTTGTCAAGTTCGTGGATGTTGATGCTAGTGCGCTACTAGATGACGCTAACGCGGTGTTGCTGCCACTGGCAGTGTGAACACAGTCTGGTTCTGTATCGTTACTAGTGTTTCTATTTTGATTTTGATTTTTGGGATCGTTGCACAATCGAGGTCTTAAGCCGCTGCGTTCATCGTCAGAGCTGCTACTGTCTGACGATGTGTCCAAAACGGGCCTTCTGTTCGGCTTTTTCATGAAAGTGGGACACATTTGTCTGAATTTTAATCTTTCATGGGCCCTACTGTTCTCAAATCGTCTGTTACACAAATCAGAAGATCACAAATTTATAAATAATACTAACCTGCTAACGTACCTGATCAGTTTAGGTCTATCACAGGCAGGAAGCGACTTGATGATTGGTAAAAACCGATTCCTAACTTCCTCGGCTAGAGGGCGTATATTCGAAAGAATGTCATCAGTACTGGTGGTCGTCCCTCGACTAGTACTAGGTTGCGGTTCACTAGTCGAAGGACCCGCTTCTCGGTCAGTGCCCGACAATTTCCGTTTCAGAGTTTTAGGGCACAATATCCTCACGCCGGAATTCCTGACTGGTTTATCTTGAAGTCCACTGGTTGAGGGTTCCGGCTGCGGACTTCTTTCGTTGATAATGAGAACTCGTCGGGGACTCTGGGTCTGTGTTGCGGTTTCAGTGTGAGATGATCCGCTACTGGTTGAAGGTTGGGTGGAATCATCAGATTTGCTTCGCTTTTCTTGAGTTGATTCTTCGGCGTTTTCTGACGATTTGTGTTTTCGGGAGTCAGATGTTTGTGTACTTTGAGCTTCAGTGGGTTGCTTTTTCATTGCTAAGATTCTGCTAGGCATTACTAGAGATGAACTGCAATTCTGGGAGGTTGATGGTTGGGGATCGCTTTGATTTTGATTTGAAGTGGTTGTCCCTGAGGTACTTGCTTGCGATTCGGGGGCTTGTGTACCACTTGTTGCGCTAGTAGCATTTGGTTCCATGGGATCAGTACCCCGATCAATCTAATAAGAAAAATGTATATGGAAATAAATATAGAAATTTTGCTTGACATTATTTTGCAATGATTTTCGAAGATTATGCGCCAATAAAAATGCAGAAAAATAAAAATCGGACAATTTTCTTCAATTTAAAAATTAGAATGTTGTAGCAACTTCAAAACCCAAAGTGTAAAAGTCTTACCATTGTTGGTGGTTTATAAATTTTCAGATAGCGTTGCACCAACTGTTCATATTCTTTAAGAAGATTTCTGTATGAGGCAGTTATTCGCCTCTCCCGTTCAGGAACACTTGACACCACTTCCCGTGTTGCTTCAGTAACTTGAGGCACCTGGAATATTACAAAAGTTCAGAAGGATTTTCCTCTGCAAAAATTTCTACCCACGTTTCGTACTCCTAAATCTATAGCCGTTCTTTCTTGTAGAGTTGTGGAATTCACAAGTCTTGGGGTAATTCTGAGTCTGTAAGGGCTAGCTGATCGCTCTGCTTGTCTTGGAACCGGCACAGGAGCCCGCACCCTTTCCCACCTAGTCTGCGGGCTGTTAGCAATCCCCGTTATTAATTTATGCCCCAACTTATCGAAAGCTACATATCTAATCTACAAATGTGATATTCTTAGTAAAAAACTTCGCAAACGCACATTTTAAATACTTTTTCTTTAGGATTAGCTGTAGCAACTTGAACGAACGGTTCAGGCATGCTCCAATCCCAAAAATAGAGCTCATTGTAAGTTGCTATAACCAATACCCGATCATTTGGATGAAACGCTATGGATGCGATGACCGACTGGTTGCCAGCAGTCCAAACTTCGCTACCTCCCTAAATAACCACCAAAGTTAGCAAATTAAACAAGTGGTTCAAGTTGTGATATTACACTAAGATCCCATATCCGAACTTCTCCCCCCAGACATCCTGACGCCACAATTTGGTTGGAAGTGGGATGAAACGCGATGCACCAGGGTGTTCTTGGATGCCCAGTTAGGATTTTTATGTTTTTTCCACTTTTAATATCAGTAACATAGATATCGTGATTGCCGTGAGTAGATGCCACTTTTGAACCATCTGGACTAAAAACCATGAGAAAAGTGGATCTTGCTTGGCCTGGCATCTCACAGCGCATCTCATCATAACACTTCTTTCTAACAAGCTCATCTTCAGCATAGATCTCTAGATTTTCTTTAGCTTTAATATTTTTTTTCAAGTGGTTTAAAGTTCGATCCTCGAGCCCTCGAAGCAGATCTAAGGCTTCACTGGCGGATTCTTTGGGCATATGACGACGAAAGTCATATTCATCAGGGTTCATCTTCTCATAATGTCTTTCAGCTAGAATATTATGTTAAAATTATCCAATGAATTGTGTCTGATAATAAAAACACTGGTGTGGATATAAAAAGAGTGGTATAAAAAGTAAGATTCGTGTTTGCTATGCGTCTCAAACATTAATTGTAGATACAAAAGATAAGTATAACTGTGGGCAAGGTTGTACAGTTGTAAACAAACACATTGGAGTTATTTTGTAAAAATTAGTGGTCATTTGAAACACTTACGCTTGCTTTTCCTTGAGAAAATGATACAAACGTAATAATTCTTGTGTTTACACCTAAGAAATGCAAAAGGGTTGGGCTTAGAGGTCGTCTGTACAAAAATAAATCATTTGAAGTGCATCATTTCATAGGTTAAGTAAGGACTTTATTACCTTACGATACGTACGAAATTCACATATTTAACAGTAATTACACTTTAAAACGTGAATTAACAGATTCAGAAACTTGCACAATAGCAGATAATGCATTAAAACGTTTTTAAATTAGAATGCAAGATTATGCACTTTGACGTGATAACATAAGATTTGACAACTGACAATGACACTACAGGCTGTCCAACAAATTTCACTCACTTTTCAAGATGCCGAAGTTCCTTGATTTAAATAAGTAAACTTCTTTGTTTCACCTTTAGCTTTTTTGTCAATGAAAATAATAAACAGTATTTAAATCGTGCTTAAAAGTTTGGTTCATATTAATTAAACGCAGCTTATGTACTATGTGGCCAGAAAAAAAAAACAGTTACAGTAACACTTTATTGCGATAAACAATTACAATATGCGACCTTACCTTCAGGATACTGTTGCAACAAAATTTTAAGTTCACCTTAAAAATACAAATACAGAATTTTTTAAATGTAATAATTTAATATAATTTAAAACCAGTTGGTAATTTTCATACTTCCATCAGCGTCTTTAGGTGTGTCCATTATACTTGCTTGTCGTACAAGTCGGTGAACTGAAATTTTTCGCAGAACTGGGTGATTCAAGGGCGTGTCCTCGGGTGCTTCAGAGTTCATGGGTTCAAGTTCTAAATCGTCGAAATTCTCTTTAGAAGCGTCCGGTCTAAAAAAAGTGGTCAGATCCAGTTAGGTATATAACATAATAACTACATAAATAATATGTAAGAGTGCTACATGTATAATTTGCCGTAAAGTTCTATGCACATAAATTCCATAACCTTCGTGGTTTTTTTTTTTTTTTGAGATACAAGTACTAACTTGAAGTTATATTAAATTAGTAATTCAGCTTTATAGAAGAAATTGATACATAAATCTTAATTAATGTTCAGAGTTTGTGTTTTGGCAAAAGTTTGAAGAAGTTTAATATTTCTAAAATACTCCAAAATTTAACACCACATATATATATTTTTTTATAATAACTTACATTATAAAGCTAGAAATAGAGGTGGATTATGTAATTTCACTAAAGAAACATGTGTTGCATATTTCAAGTGATGATGTCATCAATTTTTTCAAAAAGATTACAAAAAGTTTAATTAATGGCATCAAATTCACAAGTCTTACACTTAAAAATTATAAATACAATAATCTTTGGTAGTTTGGTAAATGATTAACACACACAGGTGGAACAAGCAAAGTACATTTGAATACACTAAATTCTGTATAAAAAGTAATTATGAGCAAAGCTAGTGAAAGCAAAAGCAGTTTTGTGAAAAAAAAAATAACTTTTCATGTAAAATATTTTTTTAATTTGTGTGTTGTTTTTGCCACGACAGTTATCAACAACCTCAACGTTTGCACAACTTTCCAGTGACCTATTTTTGTTATCACATGACCAATGTTTTTGAACCACAAACTATGGAACAAAAGAAATTTGCATTTATTTTTTTCTTGACAACATTCATTACGCATATCCTCGTCTCATAAAGACGTTAACTTCCGTACAATTTATTCAAAAAAAAAAAAACAATTACATTTTGAGTAATTCAGTCACTTTTACAATTACTTTTTGCAATTACCTTTAACCCAAATACTCAAACATATTGTTTTGTTTTTCTCTAGGAATGGTTTACCTTCGATAATAGAGAAGATTAATCTAGTAGAGAGTTAAAATCTAACACGAGTTTAGCACAGAATTTGTTAAGAAACCAGGTAACCATAATACACATAAGCTCTTCATCACTTTAAGGGTGAGCTAAAGCATATTCCAGCATAGGGAAATATGTACATATAAACTTCTGCCCAAGTTTTGCCAAAAGTATACGTCCGATTGTAATAAATTTCACACCGTTGAAATGAGCGTAAAAAACCCTACCCAGACTGCTTTTCCGTTTTTTAAATTTTGTTGTCAAAAAAAAACTACAACGCGTTAAAATTGTGATGAGTATGAGATTATCTGGTTTTCCGTATTAATGGATCAATTTTAAATTTTCAAAAGGGTATATTAGGAGAAATTGTATTAAAAAATTCATTGCGCTTTACAGAAATAAAATATGTGATGAGTGTGAGATTATCTGGTTTCCGCTATTTTTGGAACAATTTTAAATTTCCAAAAAGGTATATTAATAGAAATTGTGTTAAAAAATTCATTGAGCTTTACGGAAATAAAATATCTTAATAAATAATTTTCATTCTAACACGTTTTTTCTTGGCCCTTTGGACCCATACAACAAATATCTAAAACTGTGTCTTCATCAAATTTTTCAAAGTGCAAAAAGTAATTGTCAAAGTAATGTATTACTTTTTAAAAGTAATGAGTATTGTAATGAATTCTTAAAAAAAAAAAAAGAATTTGTAATTCCAATGAATTGTTATTGTTACTGAATATTGAGTAATTATAATGCATTTTTAAAAGTAATTGTTCCAATCACTGCATATTTCTCACAAATTTTTCTAACACTTATTTATAGGGTACAAAACACTATCCCGGGTGTCCCATGTAACACTTTCGGGCGCAATAACTCAGGCATTTTTGAACGGATTGTTATGAAATTTGAAATGTAGGTATTTAGATATGTGAGGATTAATATGAACCGGTGAGAATATTCATTATCTTGAAAAAGTAAATTTTCCATTCCTTAATTTAATTTTGAATTAATTAAGTTTTGCATCCCTTGATTAAACATGAAAAATAAATACTGTATGTAAAAATTCATGTCTGGTTAGCCAAAAAAACATAAATTATTGCGCAAATAATTCCAAAAAGTATTAAAGGATAGGTAGCTATGAAACAAAAAACTGCTATCCTCTCATTTTGGATACCCTTGCGGGAATTTGATACCTGTTTGCCAAGAGTTATTTTATGAATTTTAAGAAAATACTAATTTTCAGTTGCTCCACTACAACCTTTTTGTTGAAGGTGCAAAACTGCTTTAGGTTCAGGAATTAATTCTAACTTGAATGGAAATAATTTTGCTATTAGGTATATTTAACACTTTGTTTTTTGTTCACTCGTTTTAGGTCTTGTACACTTCCCGTATCTTCAAATAAGTTTACTATTCTTTGTACTTTGAATTTGGTAAATTCGTCATCTGGATACCGTTCGATAAGAGTCATCTAGGTCTGTACGGCATTCTCCGTAGGTTAAAACATAGGTTAAAATGATTTCGGTTTTGATAATTAAAGAAAAGCGAACCATTTTCAATAATGTGTCAGATTTTGACAAACATGTCAGGGGTGTACAAAATTTAACTCGGCGACGCGGGAAATTGTTTTGCACCGACAGCACTATCAAATTAAAAAAAAAACAAATTAATTAATTTTTGCGTTTTTATTAACGTAATTCTTTTAAACAAAAACATAGATTTCATTAATTTTTCGCACACAGGTGTTATTTTAGTTGCTTAAAGTTATAACGCAATTTTGCATAATTTTTAACAACAGGAATCTGTTTTAAAATTCGTTTTTTTTTTTGTTATCAGCCTAATCCTTACCTATTATATTACACCTGTGTTAAATTTGATAAAAATCCCTGAGTTATTGCGCCCGAAAGTGTTACGTGGGACACCCGGTATATAACTGAAATTTATTTTCACGCTCCTCTAAATTGATAATATCTATTTATTTTAAAACTCTACACAAAAAGATTAACCAACGTTTTATTTATTAATATTCTTACAGACGGCTCGCCTTTTCTCAGTCCACTGGTACCACAATTTGAATATCAAAATTTATACATAGCCCATCCAAAATTGAATGACGTCAGTTTAAAAAATATTAATAATTCAATAATTGCTCTTATTTCTCAAATTTGAGTCAACATTTTCGAAAATTATTACTTCAAAGTATATTTTCATTAATATATTTTCACTCCAAGTGTGATTATTCTGTTAGGTACTTAACTGGTCCATTGCAAATCCAAATCTTAAGCTTACTTTAGGCACGAGATACCAGAGGCATTTACTGTGTCGGAAGTTCAACGTACATAATTTTAGCGTTTTGTTCATGACATCAAGTTATTTTTAATGCAAGTTTCATGCAAAAATTCGTGTCGTGTTGCAGCAACAACCTATAATTGAATTTTATTTGACCTCGTTTTATGTCAAATTAGATCCTGTTATTAGTGTAAAAATACAGTTTAAAATCATGTACATGTAATATAATATGTAGTAGAGTTTGAAGACAACACGGTACGAATTTTAAAGTATAATTGACATAAATAAATTTGAATAAATACAATAATGCGTTAGTTAAAATCCTCCAATACATCGATAAATAAAACTTTGTTTTGGAAATATTTATAAAATTTTCGACCATTTCGTTTTGGTGATATGTACGGTCGCGGCTATACAAAACTGGACCTAGGCTAAATAAAAAAAAAAACAGAGTTTAATTATTAATGTTCTATTTGACAAATCAAATAATTTTGATAAACACTAACTAAAACTTTGTTGAAGTGAGTTACGTCAAACTAAGAGCAGTAGTACCACCCAAAGCTTGAGAGGCAAAGCCAACTTACTGTTGATCACACGGTCCACTGTTTACAATTTTAAATTACTACCAGAAAAAGTCTACGAATTCTTGGTGGATAAAACATCAATTACAATTACAAAGGTTCATTTTTGCGTCCACACAAAAACTTACTTTAAAGGAATGCATCTGCAGCAATCTTGAACCGTAAAATCTTTTCCAAACTCTTCTCCCTCGTCTAATGTCTGGGGCAATCGATGGTGAAGTGTCTCTGGTAACCTCAATCCAACGACTCCACCAACAACAGAGATTATCCCCATTATTAAAAGAGGCAAAACTACCATTTCCGAGCCCTTTCGACAATAAATTCCATTAAAAATAAACCCATTTACATCACCTGACTCACCAAGAAAGTAATAAATGGTATTATAATACGTCCCAAACCTCCAATATACGCAGCCACTCCAATCCCAATTCCACGCAACTGCGTTGGAAATAACTCCCCAGCAAACGGATAAATTATAAGAAACGACGCAGCAATCGCCGACTTTGCCATCAAGAAAAAAGCCAGAAGCAACCCAACAGAATCTAGAATTTTTGTCATCAAGGAATGATTGTCGTTTTAAATATACACGTACCATCTGGTATTAGAATGGTGACAATACAACAAACGCCACTCACAATCATACACAAACACAACGGCCACCGCCTCCCCCATCTGTCCATCATCAACCAACACATCAAATAACTCGGAATTTCTATAGCCGAAGAAAGAAAAAAACTCATGCTTTCGTCACTACCCATAGACGGCCCGTAGTAACTCAAACCAACATAAACCACCTCATTGGAAAACCAGTTTAACGTAATAAGTATGGTTTTTAGCCTCATGTTTGGGGTCGAACACAGTTCTGAACACCGGGGAGTTTTATTGTAACGTTCCTCTTCGCTCAACGTTCTTCGACAGAACATTTTTTGCTTTAATTGTTGCTTGAAACTGGACGGTAATTCTTTTTTGTTAACTCTGGCCAGAGTTTCTAGAATTTTGGACGCTTCTTCAAAGCGACCCTTCGCGAGTAACCAACGAGGACTTTCGGGTAGTACGAACCAGTAGAAGTAATATAGAACGAACGGTAGTGATGTAGCAATTGTTAAATGAACCCAGTCGCGAACCAAATATGTAATTGCAGACAACATGAGTAAACCTAAGGTGTAAAATAAACACACCATGACTGTAACGAAGGAGCGGTAGTTGGGACCTACTAACTCGAGGGCTGTAAAATATAATTGTTATGACGTCGAGACACTTAAGGCACTTACAAATAATGAAAGGTATCTGATAGATGGCTGGTATTGTAAGCCCTACTATAGTTCTACTGGCAGCCCACCACCAAAAATTTTGCGCAGTTGCTGTGAAAACACTACCAACTAGTAAAGTCGTAAGACATACGAAGAACGACTTTTTTCGACCTATGCTGTCGTTAAGTAAACCAAAATAGTATACACCCACCGGCCCACCCAGATTTAAAGCCACTAAACCTAAAGTGGGGTATATACTTTTATCACAAACCAGTTCAAACTGAAATCAACAAATAAAGCTAAAGCTATTCAATTTAGATACATACATCTGTGATTATGCTTGACGTTGTATCATTTTCAAACTCCCAGCCGTCAGTGCATTGTTCCGTGGGCCACGATGCGTTAATCCTGGTTTCGTCACCGTCCCAAACGTCTGTCCAATTTAACGTATACCTTAAACACTTGGAGAACGTTTTGTTGTGCTTTGGAATGAAAATATTTCTGCGTTGTTCTGCGGTAAAATTAAAAATGTGGGGGGTTTTGCACCAGTGGTCTGGTGTGTGGGTCATGAAGAGCTGGTTAAAAGCGCAAAAGCCGCAGGGGAAACACGCCGGGAGGCATACGAACCACAGCATTAGCTTCTGGTACAGACCAAATTCGCCTACTTGGGGTAAAAGATCGTCTAAATCGAGGCATTCCTAAAATCTGGTTGGTTAAATACGTACTTGGGTGTGGGGTCAAGCGTACCTTTTTCTGTCGGTCGTTGTGATCCATTTTCCGCAATACTGAGCCATCGTTTCTGGATTAACTTACGAAGCCTTAGTAGTGAGGTTTATGAGATTATTTCCCGTTTTCCTGAAATCAATCACTCCTCATATAAATGACTGACCAAATGATGTCTTGAAATGCAGCACGACACATACACAACCCTAATTTTATTGCAAATGTCTTACCTGAGATGTTAATAAAATTAGAACTTTTTGTGAGTAAATGAATTTAGAAATTTGACTGTACATGTCGAAACTGAAATTTTGTTGGTGCTGGTGTGGATGGATGTAAAGAAAACAGTTCTAAAGAAAGGAAACATTTATTATCCGTACAACTACAAAATTCCCAATTCTGTGGGAAGGTGATCCCAATGTTTTGGGAGGGAATTTAAAAAGTGAAATATTCTAACTGAAAAGGCGTGCAGAAAAATTTAACATAATAAAATTAAAATCTAATACAATAATTTTGATAAATTGGTCAATAGGCACCCTAGACATGGTAACATTTTAAAGGGGAAAGAAGAAAAAGAAAGATTCAACCGGTGTTCGACAATATTAATTTTGGAATATAAGCCGCATATTTCGTCAACTTTCATACGGCATTTGAGCTTCACTACGCTATTTACTTAAAAATTCAGTCTTCAGTACACACGTAAAACATGGATATTGTCAAACATCGGTGCGTTTGGGGTGATTACAGTTTAACAATCAACATGGCACAATCAAAACAAAACATTCAACCGATAAAATATGCAATCATAAACATTTCCACTCAAAACCTTCCAATGTAATTTAACACAACTTTTCCACAAAACATTCGTAGACTTGCAAGTGAAAAAAATTTGGCGGTTTAATTTTAAAAAGATCATGGGCTTCCTTGTTGGCAGAGAAAAGCGGGCACTTTACTTGTCCAGCAAATCAAGCGCAACTGAGTAAATACAAATAAAGTGCCTAACAAACCAAAATATATACATACATTACAGATTGATAAAATGAGCTTTTTAAAATTAATAATTGCGTTTCTGGTGCATTAAAATAGAGGCATCAATAAATAATAATTTAGGCCTGTAGAAATACTTATGCTATTCATAATAAAATTTCATACATCTTACATACAAAATAACAGTCACACGTCTTACATCCTATACAAATTGTTTCATACAGCCTTTAAACCCAGACGCGGGCAATCGTTAAAATAACCCATTGCTAACGTACCTTCTAAAACAACGAAGGTCTTTACTGGACTAGTCTCAAATAAAGAGAAAATAGAAAAATTTGGTTTATTTCAAGATTGCCCACGGAAAAATATCACACATACAAGGAATTTATAATTATAATCCTAGAATTATAATTACGAAACATTGAGAAGGTTTCGTTTATACGCATTTAAAAAACTAATGGAATTTAATTATAATTTCTTTTCGTTTTTGGCAACTACAGAAACCTTCTCAAATCACAGATTCTTTTTTACTTTGTTGCGATACCCACCCTCCCTTCCAAGCACTTCCGTATTTCGTTACCGACAGCGAGACTTATACGAAGAACTCGAAAATTTCATACAACCACCCACGCAAGGCACAAACAGGCCTCACAAAAATCTTTCATAAAAAATACCAGTCACAAAATTTATTATTCTCAAATTTCCTGAGTATGAATTCAGTGAATTGGAAATTGTATCGAAAAAAATTAACTACCGAAAAGAGACCAGAACACGCTCCTATGGACAGGTTTTGATTATCGCAGTCTTCAATAAACTCCAAAAAAACGAGAAAGTCGTTCGCTAAATTGACGAAATCTATAAATTGTTTGCGAGCGTGTTTTGTTCTTTTTCCCTGACGGACAAATTACGCACGAACTGCAACGAAACATGGTAATCGTCTAATTGCTCATGTTCTGGTGTAGTGCGTCCGCAATCGTCACCAAGCCATATAAAAATAACTACTTATGATTAATTCGATATGTGAAATAGACAAATGCTTTTATTGTAATCAAATACAATACTAAAGTGAAGACGAACGTAAAAGACGCAACAAGTGATAGAGGAGACACCACTTCACTCTTCAGTCTTGAGCTAACCGCCTTTCACGAAACAGGCGAAGAAGATTCAGACACTATTCACAAGCGTTCACAGCTACGGATTAGCACTCACAGTTTATCAAAGAGTCCATATGCATCAGCACTCACTCTGCACCCCGAAAACCGAAAGTATTGGGGAACAATACCATGTCAAACTAGCTGACCAGTTTTACTCAACGAGCCGACAGTCGGTGCCCACCCACCCCCCCTTCACGCAACTGACATCCCCATCGTCGACTGCTGAGCAAAACTGGTCCGACTCAACCGAAACGAAAACTAAATGTCTGCAAGAATTTTGGTTTTATGTATAATGCGAATCCAATATCGATGCCGTTGACCACACCTTCGTTAGATTTCCTTCTGTTAAACCACAACATGCCAAAGAAAATCTGAAACCATCGAAAGCACTGTCAAACTTCGCTCAGCACACGGTTTACGTTAAACTCAGGCAGTCTTACGTGACTCGAAAAAAGTTTGAAGCAGTTCTATCTGTGTCGCGTTGGTCCTAGTACGAGAAAAAAGTGCACTCAGAGGCGGTCTGATTTTTTTTGCTTCAATATTGTACAACTGAAATACAAATTTATTCAAGTATTTTACGACCACTTGTATAAGAGGATCTATTCCAAGTATTCAGCACAAATCACAAGGTACTGGTACTGAATTATTTAAAATATTGATCATTCCCAATATAAAGCACGACATGTGTAACATACTGTTAACCACACGCAACCATTTTCTTTGTAAACTGGAAAACTATGTACACAAATTGGAATAAACAGTCCGACAAGTCTGTTCACCTAAGAATTATTACAGATAATCGTAGAAAAAAACATTAATTTATCTGCAATAATTTAAGTAAATCTTTAATATCCGACACGTTTACACATAGTTAATATAGTTATTTTTATTAGGTTACACAGTTATCAATAAAATAACATGCGATCGGAAATAAATGAATGTGCCACATATATGTTCAGAGGTCATTACTACGATGGAAAATATTTTGCCGCCAATTGACGTAAGCATTTTTTAATACGTGGTTATTTTTCATAAACTGACGATTCATTAATTTAATAGTTTATGATTCGTTTTTTTTTCTTGGCAGTTCGTAGAATAATAAAGTGAGTTTCCCGTGAAAATTAATAAAAAACTAAATAGAAGTAGAATTCTTTAATTATTATGTAACTCTCTATTAAATACCAGTGACGCATTCGGTATTGGTTGTGCTTCACATACGAGGAAAGACATATTATAATGACATGGACTTTTATGATTTTTCAAATCGTGACTTATAAAGATATATATTTTGCCTAAGAATTTACTATGCTTCCGGTAACTTTAAAACGTTGGCAAGATTTCAAAGCCCATTCAATTTTGCAGATTAATTTTTTTTATTTTTTTCCAAAAACCCAAATGTTCCGCGAAAAAAACTCAAGTTGGATTCATAAACTACAAGTGTACGATTATGTTATTTCACACAATTTAAAACATACAAATCCGGACTAGCGGCAGAGAGACAGACAGACAGACGGAAAAGGGAGACTTTTCATATTCTAGGGGTCGTAACACATCGAGAAAATATAAGTACCCAGTCGCGCGTTGGACTCGATTACAATACTTCGATAGCTTGCGCTGGAAAGTAAAAAAAAGGGCGATTATAGAACTGCCTATAAGGGACAAAAAGGGTCTAAAAAAACTCGTTGCAAATATTACACACACATTTTTGTAGAGTAATTGTGATCAAAATCACGGCGGATTCTTAAACCACAATGTTATTTTATAAAATTTTAAATTTTAAGGGGACACCATCACATTGTTGGTGGGGATATTCCTAATATACATGAAACATAGAACAATCAACAATTGGTCCAGTAGTTTCCGAGATTAATAAAAATCGACACAACCGGCGACGAACGGAAACGGGAGACCTATTTTTTGCACTCTAGGAGTCATGAAGCCTCCAGGATGGACCCTACAAAATACTTCCTTCGCTTACACTCGGGAAGTAAAAATGAAATAAGCTGTTTTTGATTTAATCCATAACATAAAATGCGTAATTTTTTTGAGACACCTGTATAAAGAATTCCAAAAAATAGGAGTTGCATGAAGAAATTTCATATACAAAAACATGTTATTTAAACATTTCAAATGAGATTGCCTTTGCAAAATTTTGAGATGACGTAACAAAGTTTTTGGGAGGGATGAACAGACAAATTCTGAATATCAATTTACAATGTTCATAATAACCTCAAAGCGTGTAAAAAATATCGCTTTAATCGATCTTGTCGTTTCTAAGATAAACAGTACAACTTTGATTTTTTTTATTGAAAAACCTACTAAGGATAATTTTAAAAACTGAAATGAACCACAAGTATGGCACATTTTGAATTTAAATTTGGTCAAATTTTGAGATGACGTCATCGCATTTTTTTTTTTTATAGGGATGCACACACAAATTTTGTTTAATGTTTTGTCATTTACATATTTTTCAAATAAATAATGATATTTGACAATAATCTAGTAATTTGGACATTACTTAACCAATAAAAATCACAAACAGACTATATTGTCACCCTCGCCTGCTTTGATAAAGCCTGCCGAATAGCCACTTTGACAGATAACCTAGTAGTTACTCTTGACGCCATTTTCCTTACGAGGGCGCTAGTTATCTTTGAATGACAGTTCACATTTGAATTTGATGCAATTATTGTTTGTATGTAATTTTTGTAATTTTGAAACAATAAAATACGATTAAAACACACAGTTCATTGTTGTATACCATCCTGCTTAAACAGTCATACAAATTTCATCTACCACGAGTTCCTAATGCAGAAGCAGAGGTCTGCGTGAGGAAAATTTGAAAGGTTTGCATTTTTTAACTATTAAAACATATATTTTGCTCCATGTTCAAAACGGTAAATTTTTGAGGAAAAATATGTACTTTGCAATTACGCTCCGCCCCTCGGTCGAACGACGAATGAAAATTTCATCACAATTGAGATCACACGGGTGGGCCGTGCTTAATCTTTGTTTTTTCTTCTTCTCAATATAGGTATATAGTTTTTTGTGAACAACACAATAGTTGAGCATGTTTCCAGTTTCTTGTTGAGAAAAGAAAGGTTTTGTATATTAAGACAAAATGTACAAAATATAAGCCCCGCCCACCCACCCCCTCTCAATTGTGATGATTTTTTTATTCACCGTGAGCCGAGGGCGGAGCTTAGTTGCAAAATCATCATTTCTCTACAAGAAATTACCATGTGAAATATGTTCCTGAAAGAGGAAAATTTTGCAATTAAACTTCGCCGCTCGGTCTGACAACGAATAAAAAAAATCAACACATCTGCGACGGGGTGGGTGGGTGGGGCTTATATTTTGCTTTTCTTCTTAATATACGTGGTCTTCTTTTCACAACGAGAAACATAAAACATGTTCAAAATTTTAGTAGGGAAATATGTATTTTCCAATTACGCTCCGCCCCTTGATTTGACAACGAATAAAAAATTCATCACAATTGAGATCGGGACTTTTTTAGTTACTTATAGCTTTATTTGAGCAACACGATAGTTAAATATGTTTTTCGTTTCTTGTTGGGAAAATATTTCGTATATTAAAAAAAAAAATATATGTACGAAATATAGACCCCCCCCCCCCTTCAATTGTGATGAAACAACTGCTGATTTCCAGCTAATCTATTTAGGATTTGCGTACGTTGATAATTCGAACATTTTAGCAAACTTGAACCAAAATAGGCAGGTTAGCCCACTATTAAACTTTCCGAGTAAATTTTTATTTTTATTTTTTTGTCGTGATGATATGTAACGCGATAGTGTGTAAGAGAAAGGTGTGTAACCGACTAACCGAAACCATTTTCATCAATCAATAATCAACGAAAAACTTCACCAACAAACCAACACAGAAAATCATAAACCAACAATTTCTTCTCTACAGTCAAATTGGTCAAATGTCAATGAAGGGTAACTGGCGCCCTGATCAAAATGTGTCAAAATTTTGCATATCGTCCAATTTCGCTATTCGGCAGGCTTTATCAACCTAAATATCAACGCAGGCGAAGATTGTTACATTGGAAATGGAAGACCTACTTATTCACATTCTAGGAGTTATGAAACCTCGGGAAAACACGGTAACAATCCAAATAAGTAAACAGTAAATGTAAATGGTTCCAGTAAGGCTCTCGATGCATAGTACAACTGGTTTGTGACTAAAATCAAGTTTTTTTTTAGGTACCAACCTTTGGTAGTATTCGCTTCTACTAAACGAAGATCTACTCATTGAAGTTTCGTTTCATTTGCTTGTAGAGAAGGACAAAAATATCAGACACAAGAAGGTTTAAACCAGTGGTTCGCAAACTTTTATTATTGATGGCACCCTAAAATATTAAACAAAATTTGGCGGCACCCCGCCAAGAACAGTTTTAATTGTAACTAATTTATTAACAAAAACACTTTATCACATGATTGTATAATATGTAATTGATGTTAAGATTGTTTTATAAATATTTGTTTTCCATAATTTAAACTTGTCTTTTAAAGCCAAAATTTTTTCATTGGAGGTTGAAATATTTTCATTTCTACCTTGCATACTTGAATTTACATATTTTATTTAAGTGTTCAAAAATATTAGTTTAATCTGCTAGTTTTGCACACCAAACGTGGTCTTGAAGGAGGTCAAAAAATTGTTCAATATTTTCTGATTCAAAAAACGTTTATATCTGTTTTCTTAATACCCAAAATCGGGAAAGAACACGGCCTTTAGATAGCAATCTTACTTCAGTATGAAGAAAATTAACATGTTCAGAACACATTTTCCATTACTGAACAGTTGTAGTATATTGATAAAATCAGATCATCAATTATTATTTTTTAAATTGGTTTTGTGCTTATATTTATTAAAATCATTATAAAATTTTCACGGCACCCTCTTGGGGGATCCGCGGCACCCTAGTGTGCCGCGGCACCCAGTTTGCGAACCACTGGTTTAAACTCTCGTTTTTCAGCTTAACCCATGGCACTTACAGTGATTTGTTAATTGTACTATTAGGCTATTATTTATCCCACAAGAGCACCAAAAAACACGACTACTAGTATCTTGTAAAATTCTTGTTTTTCCAGAAAATTTTTGTCATTTCATTTTGTAGCAAATTGTTTTTTAACAAAAAATTGATCTAATCCATAGTGGTAACCTCGCCACTATCCACTGGTTTTCTTTCACCGCTAACTTATAATCACTGTTACACAAAGAAATATACTTATTCGTAAATGAACATATGCTATAATCAAACTCTCTTTTAATAATACAATAAAATTTGTGTATTTGAAAGTGGTTTTGTTTTCTAAACGACCCCTGGGGTTTTTTCGAACCTCCATCGAGCTACCCTGGGCGACAACTGAAGTGAGAAATAATGACGCCCGACTTTTCTTTCCATTTTAGAGTTCTTTCAAGCAGCAACAGTCCAAATTTTTCCACGCTTCATGAGTACTACGCAGACCGACGTACAATTGTGTAAACAGCTATATATTTGTTTATTTATATTTAGTAATATTTATTATCTTGTTTTAAACAATAAGGAATAAAATAATTTTATTTTTTACTTATTCAATACAACGAAGTCTTCTTGACATAAATATAAAAACGCACAGATCTCAACTCCTCTTGTTTTCAGACAGCCTCTGATTTCCCAAGTTAAAAGTACTACAGGACCCTTTTCAGTTAATTACACAACATTCCGCCACGAGCTAAAATAGAACTGCTTCTTCTGCGCAAACCACACCCACTTACCAACTAGCGACGGCCGTCGTCGAGTTCGCCTTCAGCTTTCGCAGCTCCTTCGTGGCCCAGTTCGCCAATGTCTTGGTGCGACTCGTTCCGCTGCGCCTGCCCTGCGCCAGCATCTCGTTGATGGGCTCTAGGTCCAGCAGCTGCAAAAGAGGCGCTCCGAACGCCGTACACAAATCGCCTACCAAACCTGCTGCCACCGCGACGGTGGCGTCCGAGTGGACGGTATCCTGCGCCACTACCGTTATGAACTGGACGATGAAAGGAATGTGCGGCTCCAAGATCATGACGTCTGGACTGGGAGTGGGGCCGTCGCCCTTAAGACCCTGTATAATACCCGTGTAAGCGTCCAAAACCCCTTCCCTTAGTTCGTTCAAGTAGTCGATCATGTCGAAGTCGTTCCTGTCCACTTGTGCTTGCGACGCTTGCGCCAGTGTGGTCAGGACAACTTCGAGGTACTTCTTGAATTCGGGACCGATGCTGAGGACGATGTCGCCGAAGACGGAGAGGATCTGGGGTTTGACGCTGCGGTGGACCGACTGGTCGCCGAGGTTCTCGAGGAGGAGGGTCATGATCTCGTCGCAGTAGGGAAGAGCTTTTAGTTTGAGAGCGCGGAATATGTCGCCGGTGAGGCCTACGGCGGTACCGCAGACTTGGTACTCCTGGTGGTTTTTCAGACCAATGTAAAGGAAAGGTTTGAAGGCGTCCATGTACTTAAGGAAGCCTTCGCCGAGGACCTCTACGAGGGTCGACACGGCCATAAGAGCGTCTTCTTGCACTCCTATGATAAACTCTTATAAAACAGATTTAACTAACATCGAATTAAGGAACGCTAGATGCGTTATTTTGTTGGTAATCAATCGAGAGTTAGGTTACTATTACAAAAAACGCACCTAATTATTATCAAAATAAATTGTTGGCGCAATGCGCACAACCGCTAAGATAAACATGCGCAATACACACCTCCACTTTTGCAGGAATTCGAATTGAACATCGTCAGCATAGCCGTCATAATGGCATCAGAAATCTGTGGAGCGTCCTCTGGAGTGACCTTCCTCAGCACGGACTGCAAAGTACCACAAAGCAGCGACTGAAGATCATTGAACTGCGACCTGTCGCTGTGACTTGTAATGTGCGTTTCCATCTGCAGGACTTGCTGCAATCGTTCCAGGATCACCATCGTCGTCTTCTGCACCGTAACGTAACAATCCTTCGGGGAGTTCTTCACCATTTCCATCAGTGCTTCGTACGCTGCTGGTCTGAGATTGGCTTGCGCGCCATCTGGACGGTCGGTGGTTTCGAGTAGCCGTTGAACAATATATTCAAAATACTGTGACAGGATGTAAGTGTCTGGAGCTCCGGTGTCTTCGTTGGTATCTGCCGCGTCGTAGGCAGCCTCCGCCAGACCAGAAAAGGCCCAACAGACGTTGGCTGCGACCCGGGGTTCGGCTTTCAACCCGTTGATCAGACTTTCCAACAAGGGTTTGAGATAGTTCTCGTTGATGGCCGCTTCGGGGATGATCTCGCATATTCGGCCGAAAGTCCACGCTGCCGTGTCCCTCACGATGACGCTGCTGTCGTACATGAGTTCGATCAGGGTAGGCATGGCTTGTTCTACTAGCGGTTTCAGGGTGGTGTTGTCCAAGCCACCCAAGATTGAGCCGAACGCCATGAGGGAGGCATCTCGGAAGCGCCAGTTTTCGGATTTGATGTTTTCCTTGATGAAAGGCAAAACGTGCGGTACGATTTCGTTTTCACAGCAGGTGGCCAATAACATCAGACATACACCGGCTGCTTTGCTTGGGTTCCAGTCGTCTTCGTCGTCGAGTTCTTCTTGCTTGGTGAGCTTCTGGAGGAGGATCGGGACGATGAATTGGAGAGCACCTTTGGCGTAATGCCTCGATACTCTGCAAAAAAAGTGGAATTTTTATTTTACGAGTACTATGGAAATGTATTTATTATGTTAATACATACATTCATTTTTCTAATTTTGCAAAATTACTTCATAGAACATGCTATGTGTTTTTTGAGTTATTTCAACATCCTTTTTGTAAAAATCTTGACAACAGTGTTACCAATGTAAAAGTTACTATGATATTCTACAATTTCTCCGACAGCAGATAAAATGTTTATTATATTAAAAATCGAGTCATATATGTAATACAAAACAAACACATCCAGGTGTCAATTGATTATGTATGAATGAACGTGAAAACTCGTCAAGCCTCTTAATCATTACAGGTTAAAAATAGTTGAAAATTTTATGGAAACTAAAAACGTTGAAGTTAAAAGTTCGTACTCGTGAATTAATCTAAAATATTCTAAAGTTGATTAGTTCTGCGAATATTAAAACAAAACGGTTGACGATGAAAAATTAATGCATTACAAGACTACATACTCGTGTTCAAGTTACCAGTCTTGACGTTCCAAGAATGACTGTATAAAACATTAAAAACGGCAAACATGCCATAATTGAATTTATTACAGTAGCATAAACTTATCTTATAAAGTGGATCAGTCAAGTTGGTAACTATTAATTAAAACAAATACATGATAAAAAAGTATCATAATATTTGCATATCTGTGTTCCTTTTCCTCATACTTAGCAACTATAATTTTGTTCTTGAAGTTTTACTTACATTTTATTTTAATTCGTACGCAGAATATGTCTAGCATAAAGAATTTTGTTTATTTAAATTCAACTATAAATAAATTTTAGGCCGAGGTCACATACAAATTGTCTGCATTATTCATACTGATAACTCTTCATTGATGGTTTTTTATGAAAAGGTACGCATTAGCTATAGAAAATTTGTTTTTAATGTTGAAGTAAATAAGTGACTCTTAAAAACATTAATGAATTCGTAAAAAGTTGCTCAATAAACTTTATCTTAAGATTTTCTAGTTTCTATAAAACATTCCACTAATTTAACACATTACTGGCGACACTCTTAGGTATGTGCAGTCTGTTGCGGACTTAATGTTTTCCTTAAACCACTGCAATTTATGTAAAAGGTGAGCTTTTGATTTCACTTTTTCAATCAACTACATAATTACAGCTGTAATTCCAGAATTACTGTTTCACCTTGATGATAGGTCTCCTTAAAATTCCCACGGCATTAAAAATACAATATAACAAATGTAAGCTGCGTAACAGCAGACTCTTAAACAAATAAACAAACATCGTCTTTATTAACAAAACAGAGCCTATTTCCTTGATATAAAGTAAAAATCCTATAAAAATTGTGACAAAATTTATACCGGGTGTCTTAGTTTCCTGTTCCTGACCTCAGTAATTTGAAAAGACAGAAGTTGACATTTTGAATGGTCAATTAACACAGAAGAATCTATAACTATGTATTATTATCCTTGTTTTTTTTGGGAAAATTATATTAAAAAAATTTTTCAAACAATTAATATTTTAGTGGAACAAGCTAGGATAGCTCAATTTTAAAAACTTGTAAAACATTTTATCAAAACACATTCATGGAGGATTACACCACTAAAAAAAAACTGACGGAAGGTTATTTCGACAAAACTTTCCTCGCCCTTAAAATGGTCGTACAATTCCAGCTTTAAAAAATGATAAAATTTAACTTTCAAAATTTTGGTTCTTTTGATAACCTTTATGAGTACAAATTAATATTATGTGTGGATTGTTAAAGTATAGGTAAAGAAAGATCGTATGCATATGTTTCTAGCAAGTTTTTCCATATAATTTTTTTTAATCTATAAAAAACTCAAGATGGGTTTATTAACTATAAGCGAAGGACCATGCTATTTTATAAAATAGTTAGTGGGGACAACCAGACAAATTCTGATTAGCGTTTTATCATCTCCACTATATTTCTAACATACATACAAAATTTGAATCATTCCGGTAGTTTCAGAGATTATCTGCCTAATAAAAATCGACATAGATGGGGACAGACGGGGACGAGAGACCTATCTTTTCGTACTCTGGGGGTCATGAAACGTCGAGAACACATAAAAGGTGCCAGTCGCTCCATAGACTCGGTTACAATACTTCCTTAAACTATTTAACTCAACACTAAAACTCCATCGAATTTACACCGTTGTTATGTGAATTTACTGCTCCAAATGTTTTCAAATAATTAAATTATTTATTAATTAATTATATTAAAGTAGAATATGTAAACTGAGAGGCCGACAATGTAAAGTTTTTTAAGGCACTGAACCAAAACTTTTGCACATCAAGTAGTGTACCATTCAGAAACAAAAAATATTGTATTAACGCACTCAAAAAACATATTCTACTCTGAAAAGAAAAAGTTGCTATGATTTCCGAAAAAACCTAATCATAGATCTTTTGGTGTTATATTTAAGAGGGATATTTCCCTTTTAAATTCCATGTTTTAAGACATTTTGATGTTCATAAAAATTAAAAATTTCTTCGAAAAATTATAAAAAAATTATTTTTTAATTACTCCAAATGTCTTGCATATTTTAGATGGGATGTATTGGAGAAAGTTTGACGACTATTCGATTATTGGCACGTTCAGATTACAGCATCAGCGGTGGCGTTTGTGTTAAAAGAAAACGAAATTTGATTGATTTTGCCTCCTCAATGCAGAGAAGAGGCCTAATTGATTAATTAAACACATTAAAAGTGATGTCTAGCGTAAACACTCATAGATATGAAGAACATTTATTTCATTAACGATTAATATGTTTCCAATAACATTAAAATATTTGCAAAATTTGGATATGTAGGTTGTTATTGTATACAATTGAAAGAACATTTAGATTTTGTAACAAAATTGTACAATGATGTCTTTTTTTTTTGCAGAGGCATAAATGAAAATTTAATTTTTATTTAACGATTCACCATGCTTACTATAAACCTTAAAACGTTTGCAAGACTTCAGAGCATTCGGTTTTGTAGTTTTAAACTAAAATTGCAAAATATTATAGCATTTTGATTTTTTTTTTTCGAAAAATCTGATGCCTTCTGTAAAAGCAACACGGATTCATAAACCATTGATAACATTTCGTTGTAAATTGCATTTGTTTATAATGTTATATTTTAGTATCTATGTGAAACTTTGTCTTATTTTTTAACAGTAACAACCAAACACCAAGAATGTAATGGGGTAAAAAATTTAAACTGGAAGAAAAGGAGTCTTACCGATTATCTTCATTTTTAAAAAATAATTTCAGAATATTAACTACAATTTAATCGTAGATGAATTTCAAAATCGGTAACAAGAAAAACTCGGTTGCTGAAAATTTCAAAACACCATTTGTGCAGAAACGTAGTAAGATTTTTTTAAAAATAAACTTAAAGATATAACGTAATAACATTTAAATTGTCAGAATCAGTATACTACCGTTTAAAAATTTCAAGTGATTTCGAAATATGACAAGATAAATAGCAGATAATTCAAGAAAAATTGCACTTTACGATAAATTTTTAATAAAAATGGAATGAGAAGACGAAAGCAAAACACTTGTGATAAATTTTATATGATTGGTGTATCGTTTGTTTCAGTAAATCGATGCGTTTGAACCAATTGGCAACTCGGGAGCGAATTGTCTCATATAAAATTCATTGCTAATGGGTTTTACACGTTGGCAACTTCAGCTGAAACAATCTACACACACACAGGATCTTTGAAACAATGGTTTCTGAACTACCTACCACTGCTTAAGTGATCCAATCAGATCAGACTTTTGTTAGTGAAACGTGTACTAATAGTAACAATGAAACAAAGGCGAACAATTCAATTTTCCATCACGGACATTTAACTAGATACCCTAGGGACAAATAAAAAAATATCAAATTGATGAAACAATCTAGAGTCTAGCAATTTGTACTCAATTACAGGAGCCTTATCTAATCGTGTAATGTTTTTCAATTTACTTCAATGTACGAATTCGTTATCACATTGAAGTCGAAACTTCAACTATAATAAAATAAAAAAAAAAACGAAATAGCTCATTTTTGTTAGTCCGCAAACTCCTATATACCATTAATAAAAGGTAGACACAACATGAAATCGGAAATAAGTATTTTGGCAGAACATAATCAAAGCTGGTACAGATGTAATTTTAAATTTTACTAAAAATTTACATCTATTACAAGCTTGCGTGCTTTGCTGTTAAGTTGAACATTCTTCATATTCTTTGGAAGTACTCCAAGAATTGTATTACTCACACGAAACACGTAAGAGACAGTTTTTGTTTGCCATCCGTTATCTTTTCGCGACGTATGAATTTAAAAAATTTAACATCCGGGACGCATTAATCGTTTTCTTTTTTTTTTTCGTTGAAAAAGTTGGAACACCCAATGAAACACCAACGTAGAAAAAAAGCAAACATCGTGGTCACCAAAACAAACAAGAACGTAAAAAGTCAAATATGGGCAATAATGTTTTTAAATGTAACTACCTCAAGCATGAACATTACTTCTTCAAATATTTGCTATTACTCACTGCAACAGTTGCAGTGGGCGTAAATTAAAATCACGAGACGTCGGTGCAACGTATTCTGCATTTTTATGTTTATTCTTCCGTCATTAGTCATTAGTTCTGTATGCAAATAAAACTCGAATCTTTTATCGCAGCAATTATTCGAATAGTCAATTGTTCCACTTGGTGGCTCTCGCCCACGAAATTATTAAAAACCGATATAAACTTTGTATTGCAGCGAGTATGCTAATAAAAATGCTGGTTCTGTGCCAAAGCAAATTGAAATTTACATGTAATCGCCAACAATAAAAACCCAAGCCGAGCTTGGATGGCTATCAATTCCGCCTGGAAAGTTCCTACACAAAGGACACGCGCGTGCTACAGACGTAAAAACGTTTTCGGTTTAATTACCTCGTTGGCGGTCGTCCTGCGTCCGCTGCTTCATTAGCCTCTATTGCTAAATCCACTTCTTCGTCGCTAACGTTGGACCAGAATTCAATACCCTGTAACGCCACAGCATCGTTATCAGATTTCATCGCTTCTAGTGTGATGGGGAAGAGAGCTTGGCCCATGTAGGGCTCCATGTATTGGTAATACAGTGACATGATTTTCACCAGACATTGCAAAGCGGCTACTTTTATCTGGGTGTCTGGCGACTGCGTCGCCTCGCACACCACTTCCATGATGAAGTTTCTTTCGGTGGCTTTTTCAAAATTCGCTTTGGTGAATTCGAGGGAATTCAGTAGCGCCTGGGTCGCCGCGAATCTAACGTGGTTGCTGGGCTCCGTGGAGCGCATTCCGTGGATGATGGCGGTTAGAATGTCGTTAGATTGGGTGATGAGGACATCGGAGTCGATTTCTTGGCAGATGTAGCCGATGGCTTCTAAAGTAGCCTCTTTTTGCATTTCTGTAGAGTTGGGTTGTACTACATTGCTTACTAAGGTCCCGATTAGGTCGGGCCATTGGTGATGGGGTAATTCGGTCACTGCGATATATGCCACGCATTGCGCGGCTGAAGAAGGCCGATTTGTTTCTGTTCCTAACGCACCTACAACCTGCAACAAAGAATAAATTTGGATTTTTCTTCTCAAAATTGATATCTTTAATATTGCTCACTTGTAAACACAAAAATGTATCATTTTTGTCGAGGTATTCATGACTGACTAAATATTCACCAGCAAATAAAAAAAATATATATTTATACATGTAGACATATTGTTGAAGCAAATTCGTCAACTATTATTTTAATTCCAGTTAATTATAAATTTAATGAAACATTTTAATAATAATAACTTAACAGAATGAATTTTTTGAGTTTATTGAAAAAAGCAACACTGAAAATTATTTGTTTTTTAGAAAACTCATAAAATATTCGAGGCGAGAAACAAAGGTTTGGATTACAATGTTTCAAACACTCCTGGCATATACTTTTTATTTCCCAATCATAAGGTAAGGAAGTACATATTATACTCGATTTTCATGTTTTCACGACGTTTCATTATTCTAGAGTACGAAAAAATAGGTCTCCCGTTTCCCTCAGTTCGTATTTTTGTTGCACTTTTGTATGTATGTCAGAATATCACATAGATGGTAAAACGCTAACCCAAATTCCACCAATGGAATGGACGTTATCTCCAAATTTTAAAGTGGTAAATGTTGTTTAAATATTTATAATGTACTAAAAATAGTACACAATTTTACAATTAATTTCACTTTAAAATTGCAAAATCGAATGTTTTGAAATCTTGAAAACGTTTTCAGGTCATGATAGTCGTTATCCGTTCACGTTTCCCTACTTAGGAATTGATGTCATCTCGAAATTTTGTTGAAAAATGTTAATTAAATGTTAAAAGTAACATAGTCCTGAACTTGTGGTTCATGAATCCGTGTTGAATTTTTATCCTAGACTTTGTAGATACATATACATATAACAATTTTGAATTTTCTATTTCTCGATTTTTCAAATTTGGATGAAGCAATTTTTCGATATTTCAGTTCTCGATTCTTCAAATATTCGAATTCCCGATTTTTTCGATTTCTTGACTTCTCGATTTTTCGATATTTCAGTTTTGTGATTTTTCGTTATTTTAATTTTTCAGTTTTTAAAATTTTCGATTTTTCTAGTTTTTAAATTAGATTTTTCAGATTTTCAATTCTTTCAGTTTTAAAATTTTTGATTTTTCAGTTTTTCGATTTGTCGATTTTGGGCTATTTCGATTTCTCACCTCGATTCGGATTGTTCAATTTTTCGATTTTTTTTTTATTTTAAATTTTCCTTTTTAACTTTTGATTTTGGACCATTTCAATTTTTTGACTTCTCGGTTTTAGATTTTTAAAATTTTCAATATTTCAGGTTTGTTTCAATGTTTCGATTCATCAATTTTTGAATTCTTCGATATTTCAGCTTTTGGGGGTTTTTAATACATAAATAATAAATAAATAAAATAAATATTTCCTTTCTTAAATTTTTCCGACTTCTTATTTTGAAATTTTTCAATATTTCGATTCTCCAATTTTTCTATTTTCGATTTTTCAATTTTTCGACAATTTAGTTTTGGTGTTTTTCAGTCCTTTTATCTTTCAATTTTTCGTTTTTCATTTTTACAATTTCCCAATTCTTCAAATTTTCAAATTTCCCATTTTTACGATTTTTCGATATTTTAATTTTTCAATTTTTAAAATTTTAGATTTTTCGATTTTTTTCTTGGATAGTTCTATTTTTCGATTTTTCTAGTTTTTAAATTATAGATTTTTCATATTTTCAGTTCTTCCAGTTTTAAAATATTTCATTTTTCAGTTTTTCGATTTTTTTAATTTTTCGATTCCTCGATTTAACGATTTTTTTTTAATTTAAAATTTTTCAATGCTTAAATTTTCGATTTTGAGCTATTTCGATTTCGATTGTTCAATTTTTCGATTCTTTTTAATTTTAAATTTTCCATTTTTAACTTTTGATTTTGGACAATTTTAATTTTTTGATTTCTGGTTTTAGATTTTTCGGTTTTTAAATTTTTCGATGTTTCAGTTTCGTTTCAATGTTCCGATTCTTCAATTGTTCTTCCATTTTTGAATTCTTCGATACTTCAGCTTTTGAGGGTTTTCAATAGATTAAATAAATAAGTAAATAAATAAATAAAATAAATATTTCGATTCTGCAATTTTTTCGATTTTTTACTTTTCCAATTTTTGTTCCAATTTATTGATTTTTCAATATTCTTATTCAATTTTTCAATGTTTCAGTTTTGGGATTTTTCAGGTCTTTTATCTTTCAATTTTTCGATTTTCATTTTTTCAATTTCTCGATTCTTAAAATTTTCGAATTCTCGATTTTTCAATTTTTTTGGTTTTCAATTTTCCGATTTTTCATTTTTTCGATATTTCAGCTATTTTTCAATACTTCTATTCTTCCATTTTTCGATTTTTCTAGTTTTAATTTATAGATTTTTCAGATTTTCAATTCTTAAAGTTATAAAATTTTTGATTTTCAATTTTTAAATTTTCCATTTTTGAGTTTTTCGATTTATTTTCATGCTTAACTTTTCGATTTTGGGCTAATTTCGATTTCTCAATTCGACTTCGATTGTTCAATTTTTCGATTTTTTTCAATTTTAGATTTTCCATTTTTAACTTTTGATTTTGGGCCATTTCAATTTTTTGGCTTCCCGGTTTTAGATTTTTCGGTTTTTAAATTTTTCGACGTTTCAATTTTTCTTCGATTTTTGAATTCTTCGATATTTCAGCTTCTGGGGGTTTTCAATACATAAATGAATAATAAATAAATAAAATATTTCATTTCTTCAATTTTTATTGTTCGATTTTTACTTTTTGAAATTTTTGATGTTCCGATTCTTTTATTTTTCAATTTTTCGAATTCCCGGTTTTTTCAATTTTTTGATATTTCAGTTTTGGGATTTTTTAACATTTCGATTCTTCAATTTTTCGATATTTTTAATTTTTCAATTTTTCTAGCTTCTAAATTGTTTTCAAATCTTCCAATTGTAAAAATTTTTGATTTTCGATTTTTAAATTTTTTATTTTTCAGTTTTTCGATTTTTTAATTTATCGATTTCCCGATTTTTTTTTCAATTTAAAATTTTACAATTTTGCAATGCTTAACTTTTGATTTTGGGCCATTTTAATTCTTTGATTTCTGGTTTCAGATTATTCGGTTTTTAAATTTTTCGATGTTTTAGTTTTGTTTCAATGTTTCGATTCTTCAATTTTTCTTCGATTTTTGAATTCTTCGATACTTCGGCTTCTTCTATTTCTCAATTTTTTGATGTTTCAGTTTTGGGATTTTTCAGTTCTTTTATCTTTCAATTTTTCGATTTTCATTTTTTCAATTTTTTTGGTTTTTAATTTTCCGACTATTCATTTTTTCGATATTTCAGCTTTGGGATTTTTCAATATTTCGATTCTTCCATTTTTCCATATTTTAATTTTTCAATTTTTAAAATTTTCACTTCTTGGATATATCTATTTTTCGATTTTTCTAGTTTTAAATTATAGATTTTTCAGATTTTCAATTCTTCCAGTTATAAAATTTTTGATTTTCAATTTTTAAATTTTTCATGCTAACTTTTCGATTTTGGGCTATTTCGATTTCTCAATTCGACTTCGATTGTTGAATTTTTCGATTTTTTTTAAATTGTAAATTTTCCATTTTTAACTTTTGATTTTGGGTCAGTTCAATTTTTTGACTTCTCGGTTTTAGATTTTTCGGTTTTTAAATTTTTCGATGTTTCAGTTTTGTTTCAATGTTTCGACTTTTCAATTTTTCTTCGATTTTTTAATTCTTCGGTATTTCAGCTTCTAGGGGTTTTCAATACATAAATGATAAATAAATAAATAAAATAAATATTTCATTTCTTCAATTTTTTTTCGATTTTTAATTTTGAAATTTTTGATGTTCCGATTTAGTTTTTATTTTTCAGTTTTTCGAATGCCCCGTTTTTTCGATATTTCAGTTTTGGGATTTTTTTAATATTTCGATTCTTCAATTTTCCGTTATTCTGTTTTTTCAATTTTTAAAATTTTAGATTTTTTGATTTGTCAGTTGTATATTTGTATTTTTCGATTTTTCTAGCTTTTAAATTTTTTATTTTTCAGTTTTTCGAATTTTTTATTTTTCGACTGCCCGATTTATCGATTTTTTTTAATTTAAAATTTTACAATTTTGCAATGCTTAACTTTCCGGTTTTGGGCTATTTCGATTTCCATTGTTCAATTTTTCGATCTTTTTTAATTTTAAATTTTTCGATTTTTGAATTCTTCGATATTTCCGCTTTTGGGGTTTTTCAATATATAAAATACATAATAAATAAATGAACTAAATATTTCATTTTTTGTATTTTTTCCATTTTTTACTTTTCGAATTTTCAGTGTTCCGATGTTTCAATATCTCGATTCTTCAATTTTTCTACTTCTCGATTTTTCATTTCTTTGGATTTTAAATTTTTCAATTTTCAAATTCTTTAATTTTTCAATTTTTAAAATTCAACATTTTTCGATTTCTCAATTTCTCAGTTCTTGGATATTTTAATTTTTCGATATTTCAGCATTTAGGATTGTTCAATACATATTTAAATGCTCCAATTTTTTGGATTTTACACTTTTTCGATTTTTTGATGTTCCCATTTGTTCGATTTTTCAATATTTCGATTCTTCACTTTTTCTATTTCTCGATATTTTTACTTCTTTGATTTTTATATTTTAGATTTTTCTATTTTTCGATATTTAAATTTTTCAATTTTTTAAATTTAAAAATTTTCGATTTCTCAGTGCTTGAATATTTCATTTTTTGATGTTTGGATTTCCCGATCCTTCGATTTCTCGGTTTTGGATTTACCGGTTTTTAAATTTTTCGATTGTTCAGTTTTCATTTCTCAAGACTTCAATGTTTCGATTGTTTTTTATTTAATATTATTAAATTTTTTTACTTCTCAACAAAATTAACTCAACACATTAAGTTTCAAAAAATGTGACGTCACAGGGGCCGTCCGCACAACTGCGAACAATATGTAATATGTATATTTAAAGCAGATAAGCAGTAGGAAAAAAAGAAAGAATTTAGCTATTACAACATTCAGAAAATAAGCATCAGTGTTAAAAGGAAATAAAATTTGATCGATTTTGTGTATTTTTCAAACAAAATTGAATAAAAAAAGAATGGAATTTGTGAAATTTGCACGACCTTTCTTTCTAAAAAATCTTTCACAATTGGCATCATTTAGAAATAAATCAACAGAAAAACAAACAAAATTACTTGAACACCTGAAGCAGTCATTTCAATAATAAAATTACTCACGCGTTATTTTTATTATGACATTTAAAAATAAATCACATTTTAAAATGTGACGTTGTATATCAGTCTTAAAATATTCGGTTGATGTTATTTCTGTTATATTTGCATGTTAAATGCAATGGGAAAAACACGTCAAACGTGCAGGATGTCTGAACAAATTATATTCCTGCTGTAACTGTTCGGTTAATATACGACATTGCATCACTGAATTTGTCGGTTTTTAATTAGCACTTGACATAACTCGAACTGTAAAAATGTAAACGTTTGAAGTAATATCACTATAAATTATCTTGACGTTAAAATTAGTTTCTTTTTTTAACTTTTAGTTCAATGAATTTTATGCGTGAAGATAAATTATTTCTTAAAGTTCTATTTTCTGCTAACTGAAATCTCAATATTATGTCATCAATTTTTTTTAAGTGGAATCGTAATTATTTTGCTTAGTTTAGCAGTTCATAGTTCAATATTTACAAAAACATGAGTCATATTATTTATGACTCGATTGGAGAAAGATCGCGAATGTTTTTTGGCGATTGTTAAATCAAGAGATTGTAAACATAAAATAACCGTTTTAATAGCTAACGGCCAACTTTAAAAAACAAATTTTAAAAATGTATCTGAATTTTAATAACTGGTAAACTACATTTTTTTTGAAGGTCACAATAAATGCTCTATAATGCACGATTGACTACTATAAACACGGAATCAAGTAACTACGACTTCCGTCATTAGTGGAAACTACAAAAGCGAAAGCAAAAAGATCACCTAAATAGGATTAAAGGAAACATTTTTCAGAATCAAAATAGGAAAACGTCAATTCAAATTTAGAATGAATTAACCTTGTAAAATCAGTCATTTATGGGACTTTTCACTTTTTTAATAAATGTCTGACAGACATAGGATATCTACTAAAATGTTTACTGAGATATGGATCAAAATAACGAAATGGTTATTTAAAAAATATTTCAATGGACAAAGTTAACTATTGACTGTCAAATATTACAAAAGCACATAATTTCTCTCCAAATGTCAAAAAAATGAAAAACCAGTACGCTAAAACAACTTTTGAAATTATATTTCAAAGTCGACGATTTTGATTTTTTTAGTGAAGATTCCAGACCTTCGCCTCTATGACCATGCGCAGACCATGATCATGCAATACGTGATTATTTTATATATAAAAAGTATTGTAGGTTGTTGCCAGTTGCAGCATGTTATTTTAGGAATTGTTAATGTCAATGTAGGTTCAACTAGTTGTAACAGCTACCTAGAACAGGAAATTGCCTCCAATGAATAAACTTTTCAATACACGCGACGAAACGTGGGATAACACAAAACTGTAATAAACAAGAACATTTGCGTTGCAACTTCGCTCTCTTACGTTTTTCTTGACGTAGTTCCGTATTTCTTCTGGGGCTGACAGCCATCTCTGCTGACAAAGCTGTTTGATATTCGGATCTTTGGACGTAAGTTGATTCTTCAATTGGAGACCGGCGGCCATTCGAGCAACTGGACTGTTGCTCCCATGTCGGAGGATATCAGAAAGGGTTTTAATAAATTCTAAGATATTGGCGGCGGCTGCTTGTTCAAGAAACGTCGAAGCTTGCTCCAATTCATTTTTATCTGAAAACAATCGCCAGTTAACGGAAAATTACTCAGGATAATGACCTCAAAATTTGAGGTTATGTTGGAAAAATGAAAAAAATGCTTCCACGAAGGACGTTCCAGAAGTCGATAGAGTTGTTTGTTATGTTGTGAGCGCGACGTTTCGCCGCTCTAGAGGAAGCATCATCAAGCATCCGCTCAAAATTCGGAGAAATGGAGGTGATGATTAACGTCATGAAACGTCAAATCGCGGGATTGAATTTATTGCATTGAGAGGGTTGAAATGTGTTGCAATTTTTAAAAATAGTTCTTTTGTGATAACTAGGCATGCGATTGTATGGCAATGGCTAAGAATGATGGCAACTTGACAAATTGCGATGATTTGGGTACTTACCAGGCGAAACGGTTTTTTCTAGGATTTGTATAAGCTGAAGTGTGTCTGGATGCATTTTCTTGTACAATTACGGACTAATCTTGTAATGTTAAGGGAGTTAATAACTCGGTTCTTGCTATTAGCCGGCTAACACCACATGTAGGATGATTAAACTGGCAGGAAGATAGAATTCATACGCCACTAACGTATGAGTGACGGTTCTTTATCGTTATTTTGAAACTGTTCGCCGTTTTAAGAGATTTACGCGGATTAGGTTTATCACAGGCACAGGCACAAGTAAACAAATCTACGCTGAAAACTTTAATGGCAGATTAAATTGGTATTTGCTGCGAGCATTAACAAATTGTGGCACTAGATTTCGGTGCGGAGGTCGGTTGACCGTTAAAATAATTCTCCCTGCGCGCACTTTTGGGTAGGTTTCTGTATTGATTAGAAAATTGACAATCGCGTGCCTGTAGATGGCGCAGGTGTACATACATTTAAAAGGTGTAAAGTTTGTCTAGTTTTCACAAAAAAACCTAACGTTTAAATAAATATTACCACTGTTATGTTGTTAAATTATTTATCTATTAGCGCGAAGAGTAAATAACATTGGATAACACAAGTTTTTTTTATACTCTAAAACTTGGTCATGTTTGTGATGCTGAATTTGAACATAACTATTTTTAATTTTTTCTACTTTGTCAAAATTGGAGACATTTTTAATAGTTTTCTCTTGAATTATATTAATTTTTAGTGTAAAAATAGTTGTTGTTTTGCCACACCGATGATAACATTGATAACTACTGATAAAAATAGAATAGTGTTCGTTATGACATGTGTGAACAAGTCTCAACAAGTAATAAATTTAAATATCGCATATTTCCTACGTCACAGTCCTTAAGCCACGCCTCTCTTTATTTTCAAATCAATTATATTAAAAAAATCGTGAAGATGCGATTGTGCGAATAGAAGTAGATAAGAAAGAATTACTTAAATTCATGGAAGTACAATTCTATCTCCATGTTTAAACTGCATTGTATGCATTGTATGGAGTCAGTTTGTGATAATTTTTGCTTACTTCGACACGGAAATGCACGTAAATGGCGAACGAAAAATCGGTCGAATGTATAGAAGGATGGCGCAGATTTTGTGGAATTGAAAAGGGAAGAACAGGAAAAGTACCCATAGAACCGGAATTTTGTTCGAAAATAAAAACACTGCGAGGTTATTTATGTTATTGGAAAATTTCGTTCACCAGATGCAATCACTATTGTTTAGCGTTATGCAACTCACTATGCATTATACAAATGCTGAGTACGCATAATGCATAGTAGGTAATTTAGTAAAGATAGTAAATACATACCTGTTTCCAGTATAACAATTATCTCTTACGTAATACATTTGTGATTTAAAATTTTATAAAAAAAAAATAATTAATTTTTATATTTTCGGTATATTTATTACCGGTACAAGAAGTACCACGCGCACAACCACGATAGGTGCTGAATGACTGATTTTTTTGAATTTTTGTGTTTGCAATTCTGAATTATTGGCAAGAATGTTAATATGTCAGAGTTCATAGTTGTCAATTTTTACCTGACCGTGCCGTACAAACGTAATGAGAAGATGGTAGCTACAGACTTTTATTATTGTCATAAATTTCAAATTGACAATCAAGTGTTCACCATAAAATTTTAGATATGTGACCAACCTGATAAAAAAGTCACAAACATAAACAACAGTCAATCAATGAAATGGATAAGGCAAGTTTTGGAACGGACCTCTTCGACTACAAACAAAACAATTATTGTCAAAATAGTGATAACTTTTTTTCAGAGTTGAAACCACCTTGAAAAATTGGAAGTAGATATTATTATCAAGGGAGGAAATTGAAAGTAAACTAAATACCATGTTTTCTTACATCACTATTTGGATTGTAATCAGTGATTGGAATAATTACTATTAATCAGTAATGCATTATAATTACTCATTATTCACTAATAATAGTAATTCATTACAATTAGTTTTTGCACTTTGAATTTTTTTTCCACTGCGGCGCTAGATGGAATTGTTGTGGGGCACCATGTTACATAAATTTACCAAAAATTGAAGAGCCGATTCTTTTGCACCTAATTTCATTCCAGTCGTGCTACAAATAAAAGTTTGACGCCAACTGCAACAACTTTTAAACAAAAATTTGCATTGGTGGAAGATTTCAAAATATCTTAGTGGCTACGTCTAAATGTATCGTAAATATTAGTCCACTGATAATTTCCTGCGGAAGCAAATCTTTTAATCTTTAAAATAAAAACGATATTCCTAAATACTTAGAAGGGGGCTACAAGATAATGTAAATTTAAAAGTATGTCTTTAATTGCCTCTTACTTGACGTTGTCACTTACAGATTAAATTTAGAAAATCTTAGAGGGTGAACACTGATAAAATTTTATTGTCGGATTATGAGGGTTTTAAAAGGACAGGCTCTATCGGTTACCTGTTATAGATTTGAGTGGACCAGAAAAATGGCTAAAGTTTTATTTCTGTAAAGCGAAATGGATTTGTTAAAACAATTTCTACCAATGTACCTTTTTGAAAATTTAAAATTGATCCATAAATAGCAAAAACTAGATAATCGCATACTCATCACAATTTTAACGCGTTGTAGTTTTTTTTTGACACCAAAATTTAAAAAACGGAAAAGTAGTCTGGGCACGGCCAACTGGTCTGGGTAGGGTTTTTTACGCTTATTTCAACGGTGTGAAGTTTATTACAATCGGACGTATACTTTCGGCAAAAACTTGGGCAGAAGTTTATATCTATTTCGCTATGCTGGAATATACTTTAGCTCACCCTTAAAATGATGAAGAGCTTGTGTATATTATGGTTACCTGGTTTCTTAACAAATTCTGTGCTAAACTCGTTTTAATAATCCCAGCAGGTCAGGTAAACGATTCGTAGAGAAAAACAAAACAATATTTTTGAGTATTTGGGTTAGAAGTAATTGCAGAAAGTAATTGCAAAAGTGACTGAATTACTCAAAAAAAGTAATTCGTTACAATTACTCATTACTTGAAAAGGAATTGAATTACAGTAATGAATTACTTGTAATTGAATTACTTCAAACCACTGACTGTTTCACTACAAGTGAAGTTAAACTCACTGGTGTATAGTTCGAGGCCACAAATTTGTCTCATTTTCGCTTGAAAATAGGATTCTCTCTGCGAATTCTTCTGCCACATTTTTACAATTGGTAACTAGTGTACTTGATGCATTCCGAACATGAACGCTCTTCAATGAACCCGATACCTTCATACGGATGTGCTTATGTAGGCGTTTTGGATTTTATCGTCGGTTATGTAGTACTCGTATTGATTCTAAATTTTATCTTTATAGTCGGATTCAGAACTTATACTTTTAAAGGCACGCCACAATACTTGTTTTAAATGGACTAAACCTAAAATTTTGCCGTTAATCAAATTTTTTCGAAAAGGGTCTTCTAGAAAAGGTAGTACTAGTGCATCGGACAACACATCATTCATAACTGACCTGTTTAAAACCACCAAATAAAATAAAATATCTTTAATAACGTCATTTTATTAGTGAATGTAAGAACTGATTTATTTATTTTTTTTTAATTTCTATAATTTTCCTAAAATTTTGTACATACAATGAACGATTTGACCATACCTAAATCACTAAATTTATTTCTATCACGAAGTAAAAAAAAATCAAATTTGTTTAGAATTAATTATGTTAGTTTATCTTTAATTAAGAACAACATGTCAGAACTGCCTTAAGGTAACTGTACCAGTCACTGACAGTGATCCAATGACTGAGCGTTATGAGTTTAATTTTCCGAAAATAAGCACATCTTAGGTCTAGATGGCGTTTTAAAAATACATATATCTTCCCTAAATCTTCTTACAAGTTTCTACATAATTACAGATTTCTGCTGAAAAAACTTTATTATCAACAGACAATTTTCTTAACAATTGGTTGCTCTGTTGCTGTCAGATGCTTCAATATTCCTTACTACATCTCTTCGAGCCGCGGCATTTAAATTTTTTTTTCGCGGTTGTTTTACAAGGTAGAGACTTTTTGAGTGATTTGGTAAGTAACATTGTTTTAAATATTTACTATTTTTGCAATAATATGAAACTAGAAATTAAATTTTCAATAAAGTTGGTAGTGTCAGTGATTGGTACATTTATTTTACACATATGCCTGGTTACTGACAAAAATGTCAGTATTTGGGACATTGTAATTTTTTTTTAAGTGTTTTTTTTTTTTTTTATAAATTCTACAGTATGTTACCAATATGTTTATGAAAATTAAAAACAAAGTAATGGACCAAATGTTTGTACCAAATACTGACAGTGAATTTTCTATATAGTTTTTGAGAACACATGTGTAGAATAGCACTAACAATAATAGGTACATAAGACTGTCAGTAATACCATGGCCGACTAGTATAAAGATTATGGCCTGTCCAAGAGGTACCATACGTGTTGCCATTTATTAATAATTACACTTAATAATTTAGCAAAATTTTAATTTGACTTGACATTATGAGACTTCAAAACGTGTAATGGTGGTTTGTTTCGGTATGAATGCCCTTTGTGCCTTTCAAAAAGTGTTAATAATTATTTTGTCGTTTTTGAATTATTAATAGACGGCAGCACGTATGGTACCTCTTGGACAGGCCATAATCTTTATACTAGTCGGCCATGGTATACATGCCTTTTCTTCCTTCAGTATAAATCATGGCAAAACGGCTTCAGTATAGCGAAAATGATATGGAAAAGGCTTTAGAGGCAGTGAAAAATGGAATTCCTGTTTTTAGGGCCAGCAAAATGTTTAATGTACTTCGTACAACTCTTCTTTATAAACATACTGGCAAATATCCAGTGGAAAGAAAAATTGGTCCCGAAACAGTTCTTTCAAAACACGAAGAGGCACTTCTCGTTGACTGGATTTTTAAATCTGCCGACGCTGGATTTCCAGTGACCAAAAACCCATTGCTGGACAGCGTACAAATTTTAGTTAAACAGCTAAAAAGGTCTAATAATTTCACAGACTCTAGGCCCGGTCGTCATTGGTATGAGTCATTTTTGAAAAGGCATTCTGAACTGGCACAAAGAGTTTCGCAAAATTTGAGCAAGGCACGTTCTTCAGTAACAGAAGAAAACCTAAGGCAATGGTTTTCTGAAATTCAAAATTATTTTCAAGAAAAAGCGATAGCAGTTTGTGATCCATCGTGGAGTTTCAATTGCGATGAGACAGCCTTTTTTTAAGTCCAAAAAACGACAAAGTCTTGCTAAAGAAAGGAATTAAATGCGTGCATAATTTTATTAATAATGATGA